AACTATCTTTTATAATAAGCCATTCCAACAGAAAGGGATGGAGTAGAGCAGTGGTTCTTAACCAGTGTTCCGCGGAACACAGGTGTTCCGTGGACTTCGTATAAGTGTTCCGCCAAAATTTTAAAATCAGTGAAAAAAAAATTTCTTTCAAAAATAGAATCGTTTTAGGTTTTGTTGGTTTATTTTTGTACACAAAAACGTTATCGTTAACTTTCGAATAATATAATGTGTCAGTATACTACTATATTATATAATATATTAATATACATTATTATTATTATATTATACGATAATCTCCACCATACTGCGATAACATACGTATAGATATTGACAATTTTATTTTCTGCACTAATAAAAGTTATAAAATACATTAGTATTAGTACGTTGCCCACGGTTATCAACGTTAGACGCGTGTACAACTTCATAAATAAGGATTCTGTTATTTTTTTAAGTAAATACAATTTGAAATTTATTTAGTTAATTAATTTAATTTGTAACGACCATTTTAATAACAAAATGGACAAATTTCTTAAACGGAAACATGATTCTTGTACTGATAGTGCAAGTACAAATACAAGCAATGTCAATGATGATACTTTCAATGATGAGAATAAAATAAAAAAGGTCAATAGACAATATTGCAACGATTATTTAAATTTTGGGTTCACTTATGTTGACGAAAATGATTGTCAAATTCCCCTTTGTGTGGTTTGTGGGGAAAAGTTGTCTAATAACGCAATGGCGCCAGCGAAATTAAAACGGCATTTTTCATCTAAGCACGCCAATCTCCAGTCTAAAAAAAAAATTATTTTGAAAGGTTGTTGAATAATCAAATGAATCAAAGAAAACATTTTAAAAAAATTGTAACAATATCTGATAAAGCACAAATCGCATCTTATAAAGTTGCCGAAATAATTGCAAAACAGTTAAAACCATACACCATAGCAGAGAGTTTGATTTTACCGGCATGTTCAGAAATAGTTCAAATTATGTTTGGCGATGATGCAAAAAAAGAAATTATGAAAATTCCGCATTCAGACGATACAATAAAAAACAGAATTATACACATGTCAGATGATATTGAGAAAACTGTCACTAACAAGCTTACTACTAATAAACTATATTTCGCTTTGCAAATTGACGAGTCTACTGATATCAGTGGTATAGCTCACGTACTAGGATTTGTTCGTTTCATTGATGAAAATAAAATAGTGAATCAATTTTTATGCTGTAAACAACTTACTGAACGTACAACAGGACAGAATGTTTTTGATTCAATTTCGTCATATTTAGATAAATTTAACATAACATGGGACCAATGTGTAGGAATCTGCACCGATGGAGCTCCTTCAATGGTTGGTTCTATTAAAGGATTTACAACATTAGCGAAGAAAAAAAATCCTAATATCATATCTACACATTGTTTTTTACACCGAGAATCACTTATTTCGAAAACATTACCTATTACATTAAAGCCTGTATTGGATAAAATTGTAAGCATGGTTAACTACATAAAATCGCGTCCATTACAATCACGCCTATTTAAAAAACTGTGTGAATCAATGGAAGCTCAGCACGTATGTTTACTTTTACATTGTGAAGTAAGATGGTTATCGCGAGGTAAAGTTCTAAATCGAATTCTGGAACTTAAGAATGAATTGTTAATGTTTTTTTCAAAACGAAGGTAACACTGTTTTTATATCTTTTCTTACAGACGATATTTGGTGTGTTAAAATGGCATATTTAGCTGATATTTTTAATTATTTAAATAGCGTAAATGCTGGTATGCAAGGTAAAAACGAAAATATTCTTACATCCACGGATAAACTATTAACATTTAAAAAAAAAATATCTTTTTGGAGAACGCGTATAATTCAAAAAAATACGGTAGACATGTTTCCTTCAATTAAAAATAATAATGAAATAATTTCTATTATAACAGAACATTTAGCATTATTAGAAGAAAAAATCACGAAATACTTTCCTGAATTAAATATTGAAAAGTATGATTGGATACGAAATCCATTTTTTACCATCAACACGTCAAGTTATGAATTTACGTTAGAAGAAGAGGAAGAATTCATAACGCTAACATCAGATCGAACTCTAAAAATAAAATTTTCCGAAATAACAGTAGAAGAATTTTGGATTTCAGTTCAAACCGAATTTAAAAAAATTTCTGAAAAAGCAGTTTCAATATTATTACAATTTTCAACCTCATACTTATGTGAGCTTGGATTTTCAACACTGACGAATATCAAAACAAAGAAACGAGAAAGGCTGACAAATATTGAAGAGGAAATGAGAGTAGCAATATCGTACATACGGCCAGATATTGAAAATATCTGTAAAAATCATCAGGCACAAATATCTCATACAAAGTATTCAATTTCAAATTTTTAAATTTTTTTTAACTCTTTTTATTATTTTATTATTTTTTAGTGACTAACACTAACATGTATGACATGCAAACAATTTTATGCTATACATTCATTGTTTAATATATTAAAAAATTAAAAATGTATGTACTACTATTTTATTTTACGGTTGTGTTCCGCGAAAATCTTGTAAAATGTTAAGTGTTCCGTCATTCGAAAAAGGTTAAGAACCACTGGAGTAGAGATATGATGCCACAATGGCTTATCAAGCAATTTGGATATAATGTTATGATAACAATAGTGACCTATTCCACATACAGTTGAATAGGTCATTGTTACTTTATCACGAATCATAAAATATCTTAATGTAACAACATATGTAGTGCTGCAATCTAGTTTTAAAATAAGAAAATCGTAAATAGGCTGGTGTTGCATTAGAATATTTTTAATTCTGAACAATATTATATCATTACTCAATTTACGAATTTTTGTGAGTTAGGCCACTATTGCGCTCAACCCCTCATTTATGGTAGAGCCCATAGGTCTCTAAGATTTATTAAACGTAATTCTAAAGATTTCTCTGATATTAACTGTTTAAAAGTTTTATACTTCGCTTTAGTTCGTTCAATATTAAAATTTGATTCACTAATCTGGAATCCTAATGAGATCGGGTTATTAGATAAAATAAAAAAAATTTATCGAAAATATATCCGTAAGTTAGTTCATAAAATAAGCATACAAAACTGTTCTCTAAATAAAATGAGAGCAGTATGCAGTATTATGCTTTTATCTAATAGGTGCTTAAAGACTAATATGACATTTACTTACAAGCTTATAAATGGAATAGTTATAAATACAAAATTATTAGAAATAATTAAGAGGAAAGTCCCATCTTTTAATGCCAGAGTCTCTATTAGGTACCTTCCATAAGACTCTAATTCACTCTTAATCGTGTATTAAATAGTTCAATAAATCATATGCTAAATTCCTGTAACTATATTAAAAACTTTTGTAATGATTCACTATGGTAATTACACATCGAATATTAAATAAAAATTATTTCGTTACATTTTATACTTTATATATATTGTGTAAAATGAATATTCTTACCAAAATATCTGTACTTTTATCCCATGGGGTTAGTTTTTAATAAATATTAAATTATTTATTAATAAAACAAAATAAAATGAATAGATACCTTTTTATCACGATTAGATAATAAACACTTAAACTTGATGCACATGTCCGTTTTTCGCCGCAGTTAGTGATGTTAACATCTGATGTCATTTATTTCCATTGAGTTTTTTTTTTTAAATCATTTATTAAAAAATGAAAGGAAAAAATATTTTTCAGAATATTTTCGGTTTCATATTTTATTTATTTCAAACTCAGTATTATCAAACTATAAAAAAATGTATATATTTATTAATAATTTATATATTTTTTAAAAATATAATTGTTGCCATATTGTTTTATGAATGCATAATAAAAAATAATATATTATATTTTAAAAAATATCTATTAAGATCTTTGTTATTTATTACATATATGATATAAATATAATATAGAAGTAATAATAGTTTAGGTTTTATTGGATTTTTGAAGAAAATTAAAATTACGTCCAAAAAAAATGTCTGCTTATCTTCTCGGTTCTTATCATTACACAACAATAATTTATCATATTGACTTATAATATAGCAAATGATTTTATCCGTCAGAAATGGTAATTCAATCAATTTTTTAAAAAATATAAATAAAATAAATAAGAATTTTATAAAATATAAGTTATGTTGGATTTAGAAATATGCAATTCAATTTTAATAGGGATCACTAGTATTTCATACTCATACACTTTGATAGTTGATAGGTATTTAAAAATATGTTTTAATTAAAATAAGAACCCAAATAAATAAATAATAATTTTATATTTTAAGAATATTTTTTGTAATTTAAAATCATTTTTGGCCATTTTCTAATATTATAGTCAATTAGCTTTATTAAATGTATTCAAATAAATAAATAAAAAATGTATGTATATTTGTATTATTTGCTTATTATTAAATCCTTGAAACATTTTTTCTGATATTTTATAAAGATGTTTAATCATTATATAATGAGTTCAAGTCAACAATTTCCAAGCCCTATTAGTTACATCTTTTTTTTTTTTAATTAATATAATATATTAAAAATGATTATATAAAATATGTCTAATAATGTGATTAATTAAATATTTTTAAATGCAATATTTACTTAAAAAAAAAATTAATTTTATATCAACAGAAAAATATACAATGTAAATAGTATGCGATAGATATAATACATTTCAATTAATTTATAGAAAATTAACATCAGATATAAGTAGTGAATATAAAAGAAATATATTTAACCTACAATATTTGACATAGTTTTAAAATAAGTTCACAATATTAACACAAAATGTAATTTATACCTATTTAACTTTTTTAATTTAACTTTTCAACTAGATATTATGTGAAAACAGATATGATAATTATAACCAATATTATCCACGCAGACAAGATAGTATGCAAAGTATGCACAACTCTTAATAGGTAACAAAGTCAATACATGGATTTAATTTTAAATTGGAAAAAGAAAAAAACATTTCAAAAGATAAAACATCTACTGTATTTACTACTAATGTAAAAACAAGATACATTTTATGATCAAGCAACCAAACTATTATCCCCATGCAATCACATCACAAATATATTATATACTTTAGCCAGGGAAAATCTTGTGTCAGTATATTTTCTCTATAAACAAATACATATATACAAATAAATTTGATAATATACATTGACATAATAAAAAATATATTAAAGAAATCATATATGCAAACTGAAAATATTATGCAATATAATTATATTGATTAGGATTATCTTTATCTCTCTCCATATAATCTCGATCAATGAGTGATTCAATACGTTTCTTAAGATCAGCTGGCTTAGCGGGAAATTTCAGCTGATTGAACAGTTCACTAATCAGAAGATTATGCATGAGTGATTTGCGCATTTTCATAATTCTTACAATGGCTGCATCCATTTGATACTGTCTATCCTGGTATACTCGTTCCTCAGTCGCCTTTTGCTCTTCATTTGTTTCTTTCATCTGCACTTGATTAATTTTAATTCTATAGAGCTTGTTATAAAAATCATTGTTCAGTGTAAACTGATCAATATCACCTATTTCTTTTCCTTTTGGCACCTTTATCAAAACTCTTGCTTTACCACAAGCCAATGACTGAAGTGTTCTTCTCAACTCTGAATCTTCCATATTGGTTATATTTTTTATATCTTTAAAATGAAGCATTTGATATTCATTAAATAATAAAAGCACCATAGCTTGGAATAAACTAACTTGTAGTTCTTTATTACCCTGCTTGAAATAGGAGCGTAGCACACAATGGCCTAGAGTAGGTTGCCACTGTAATTTCCTGCCATTGTGTTTGGCTAGATAAAACTTATTAAAACAGTTTTGATATTGAATAATTTCATTAGGCATAGACACTTCCATAACAACATAAGTTGGCCAATGCCCCATAGTCAGTATATTGACTGTCATGTCAATACCAGACAGTTGAATGTCTTTAACATTTCCTAAATACTGTTTGTAAGCCACATTAATATCTTTACTTATTTCCATATCTTTAAACATGCCTTCGAGTTTAGATGTAAACCCTCCACCACATTCTTGTTTTAATTTGGATAGCATACTTTTTTCAGCATCTACACTTGCAGATTTACCAAGTAACAATCTTTTAGCAAGATCCTTCTTGTAAAATGCTTCAAAAACATCTTTGCCATGTATGAACCGAAACAGAACCATAATTTTATCCAAAAGTTTCTCAAGCTCTTCTTCTGTAGCTTCTTTATTACCAACTTTGAGCTTTGAATCAACAAATTTAGCTATGAGTTCAGCTGGCTTGTTAGTTCGTTGATTGACAAAATTTTCAAATGCTTCCTTTAAACTGTTACCAAATTTTTCATTTGCTTGAAAACATTTTTTAACAATTACATCCATTTTGTCTTTGAAATCTAATAATTCTTGTACCATAGTCTTGTCTTTTTCTGGATCTATAACAATAGTCCGTCCATGTTTTTTGATATAACCATTAAAGTGTATACAAAGTTCAGTTAGTCCTTTTTTAACACGTGTCAATAAGCTATACATCAACTTCAGATCGTCCAGTCTATTTTCATTGAGCAATTGATCCAATCCTTTTTGTAGTATAATGTGAACATGCTCGCTTATCAATTGTTTTTCAACTGTATGTATTAATGACCACCTTGTAGAAGTATCTAAATAATGGAAGAGCCGTTCACTTTCTTCATTCAGACGCTTTTCAACATGATATAAATATTCAGAAACTTCAAGTTCAAGTATAAATTGTAGACCTTCAGTAGCATAAAGACGTTCAGTAGCCTGCAAAAACTTTCCTTCAAAAGCATCTTGATAAATTTTTAAGTCTGAAAGCATTCTAAGTAAAGATTTAAGCAGAGTTTTGTCTACCATATCACCTTGCCTTTCTTTTTCTATGAGTAGTAACAAACCATCAACTGTACGATTCTGAACATTGGTATTTAACATGATATGATGACGAAACAAATTCAAACCCATATCCCAAATTGAGTTGACATTAGGATTTTGAAGTACATAAGTACGGTCTAAATATAGGAATATACTGCGTATCATTAACATTTGTTCACAATGTGACGACCAGTGGTGATTTACTTTTTTTAAGAATATGATTTTATCATTGGTAACTTCAGTAAAGTTAAGTAACAATTTTTTAACATGTGCTTCACTAAGTTCAATAAGATTATTATATAATGCTGCTGCTAAGTTATTATTACACATATTTTCTACAGCTTGATACAGTTCTTCCATGCTGTAGCGAATAGCGGTTGAGGTTTGTATAGCAATAACAGCTTCGCGTAATTTCTTCCATGTTTGTTCTTGATAATTATCTGGTAACATTGGTTTACTTTTGAGATTTTTTACAACCAATTTTTTAGTTGGGTTGGATTTCAATGATGCATTTAATGATAGACCATTCAATGCGGTTAGATTAGATCTTTTTGTATCAGCCATAATTGAAATGTTAACAATTGATAATTTTTGTACAAATCTCTAAGTATGTGTCATTACTAGTATATTTTAAATCCGTTCAACTTCTGAAATAAAAACAAAATAGTATTTAATATTTCAAAGATGTATTATAATAGCTAATAGTACATTAAACCTTAGATCTTATTTAAATACTACTGGTTCCTCATGTTTTATAAATATAAATCAAAACATTAATACATTCCTCATTTTACATCAAATTCACTAGAGCAAATATATTATTTGATAGATATTTTTAATAGATTAACTTAAAATATTACCATAAATAAGTTTGCGTTTAATACTGTTTAAAATCTTTAAATATAATTTAAAACATTTTAATCTTTACTGACAAGCAATTTAATAAACTTCAAACGACACATTTTATCTTCAACCAATTATAATTTTATAATACTTCAAGTTTCATTAGTTATTTTGATATATTACAACAACAAAAATTGTTCAATTATTCAACAAAATTGGAAAAATCATATTTTCATTATCTGTTAAATGATAAAAACAAAAAATTGACTGATTAAATTAAGAATTTAATAATAGTTAGATTCTATGATAAAAAATTATGATATAGCTTAAAAATTGAGTTAATTTAATAGTATCTAATTATTGCTAATAACCAATGTTTGAAAGTGATTGTCAATTATTGATTTGGCTAAGGTTATACTCAATTAAAATGTGAAAAATAAATAGATACTTACAAATTGGAAACCATATTAATATTATAATATATTTGATTTGATTTGAACGCAATGAGGACATCAAGTAAAAAAATGTTTAAAAATAAATAAAACGGCCTTGATAAATATATTACAGATATGTAAATAAATCTATATAAAGAAATATATATATATTTAATATTATTTTCGATATTTTATTCTAGTCCAGAAACACTAAAACTATTTATCTTCTAACACAGAAATTGATGTTGTGATCGTTGTCAAAATTGTGTTTTTAACTTGTTTAGGTAAGTCCGGTAAGTTCAAATAATTACCTGTAGTGACCATTATTTATCATACTGATTTTGTTATGATCATATCTACTACGCGCTATGTTATTATCATTTATCATCATAACGTTGCGACCGCAAGGTTTACCATAATCGGTACTATCATTTATCAAAAACACCGAACGAAATAATTCTAGAATCGGTAGAGGCAGTCGCAAATGCCACAAGGCAGCAGCAGCAGCGCTTAATCAGGTACTGACACAACGTAAAAAATAACTATTTGTTCCGTTAGGCTTATAACAATAAACAATATCCAGACATTTAGGGAGGGAAAAAACAACATTTCCATCTTACCTTTTACGATTTATTTAATCCTCTTCCGACAGACTATGATGGTCTTACATTTCGCCGGTATTCACAATTTGTAACGCATTCAACGTCAAACCATACGGTTGGCAGAGTTCATGAGTATTACAAGGTGATGCGGATGTTTTGTGGAAACAATAACTAGGAAATAGAAATATTTATTATTATACTAGTAAGGAAAAAAAAGAAACGATATAGTTTAACAATAGTAAATATGACTGGAAACGGGATCAGGATTATTGATAACCGCGGAGACACAGTTCGGGTAAACAATACCTTTACACAATTACAGTACTGCCAACCTGTGGTGAAGACGCACGTGTTACGCAAACCCATAGAGTAATATAGATTACCCGATGGTATAACAGTTATCATTAATCGGTTTATGCATTATCACGGTCACAATCTAGTAAAATTGATGAAGTCTTATAAAATTAATGCATATTTAACATAAATGTGGCCTAGTAAATATTTTTTGTCGCCTAAAAAATGATATATTTAATTACTGGGTGACAACATTGTTTTGGTAAAAATTAAGATGTTTGTAATTATTTTAAAATTGTTTTCATTATGCTTGATTTTGTAACTTGTTTATCATTTCCTTCGTGTTCACATTTATATTTTGTAAGCGATACACGAACGTCACTCGCTTTTTCAAGTTGAACTTGAATATGAACAATTTTTGGGACGTTCAAATTTATTTTATCACCATATGAGTATGATTCATACTAATATAGCTCCTATGGCTTCATGATTCTGTAAGAGTTTTCTCCGCCTCTGTCAAAGCTTTCCAACTTCCACGACCCTTAATCAACTCTTCCCAATTTGCAATATCTAGTCTCTCTAGGTCTTTTATGCCATCTATCCAGCATTCTTTTGGCCTCTTCCTTTCTGGTTACCAATCCATGGTTGGTCTAGCTTTGCTTGTCGCTTCTCTCCCTTTAACATGACCGAACCATTTTAGCCTTTGTCCTTTTATGTAATTCATTATCATGGGTATTTTTGTACTTTCCCTTATCTATCTATTTTTCATTTTACACTAGCAATTGGCTACATCATTATATACGGGTCCACATATTGTTCTTAATACTTAGAAGGTCTTTTGAAAAACTAGAACGCGATAGTGTACTCTTAAAAAAAAATTACATGAACGTGAACGAGTTCCTTTTTTATGCACTGAAAGTTTACGTGTACGAGTTCAATTTTTAACTGAACGTTCCGAACACTAATTAAATATACATTACAAGTTTAGATTGTATTATTAGAGTTTCTAAGATTTGAATATTAAACACTGACATTTTTTTTTATTGTATAGGTTTATTTTATTGTTAATGTTGATTTTATCAATTTTGTTTAAATACGTGGACATTATTTTTTTTTTTGTCGCCCAGTGAAAAACTCCTTGAAATATTCACAGTATAAAATAGTCTCCATACATTTTGACGGTCTTTAATTACCGAGTTAAACTAACCAAATTTCAACAACTGTGTCAAACCATCAATGAGAATTGCGATTGAAGTAGTTGTGCAATTTACGCCTTAATAATGATATATGACCCATTGTTCATTTAGACTAAAAACATAGATAAATCAAAATCATATTTAATTTTTATTAATATTATAAGACATTTTTAATAAAATATTTATATATTTAATAATACTTAATTTATAACTAATAATTTAATTATAATGTCCACAAATAAAAATATTAAAACACCCTACTTTGTGATTTTTAAATTTAGTACTCAATATCTTTAACTTATATAATAATAATAGAAAAATGTATTCCTGCTCTTGTTATATATTTACCTACACACTATGTATTCATAATAGAAAATATTTTTCATTTTAATGAATGTATCATTTACCTAGGTAACTGAATTTAAATAAAATATACAAGTATTAAAATTCAAAAATATTCTTGTATTTATTAACAAATTAATTTGAAATAAATATAATACAAAGATAAATGACTTGTCTTAGAAGTATTACATCAACAAAAAGAAATCTGAAGCTAAAATCATTTATGGTGATAACTGCAATAGAAACAATAGTTCTCATTTATTACTGCAACACTTTACAAAATACTCTAAAAGACGTTTCCTCAGAAGTAAAAAATTTCTTACATGCTGGTCTTGGCAAATATTCAACAAATACCGTATGGAGAATATTTTGGAATCAATTTCAACAACATTATTACTGCTGTGGTGTTTCCCAAAGTAATGATTGGTTCCAAACAGCTTGGGTATCACCGATGGTTTTATCATCATTTTCTCTATTTAAAAAGTAAAATATAATAAATTTACAAAAATAGGATATTGTTTTTGTAATACATATAAGCCATGCTTTTTACAACTAAAGAAAAATACTTGCATTCTAACGTATACTGCTCTTAAATGCATTTTACTTTCTGTTTTATTAATTTATATCACAAATTACATTAAATTGCAATCAATGTAATCAGTGGTAATATGGTTTTTCCATTTATCAAAGAAGCAATGATTAAAGTAATATTCAAAATTTGTTTTAGATACATACAAAACAATAATAAATTATTTATATCAGTGGCTCCTTTATCTTGTTGTCGACCCAATATGACTTGCAATGTATTTGTAGATTTTACACAACCAGATCTAAACAAATATTATCAAAATGGTTGCTTTACAATAATATCTGATGCAATTAACTCAATAGAATCAACAAAATACATATATTTTAGTGTAATAATTATTCAAGTATGATCAATGCACAAATATTTCAAATAAATTAAATTTGTTAATATTAACTGTAGTAACAACAATATTTTAGCTATACTTTAGTTATTTGTATTCAAAGTCTGTTCATCAATTATTTTAAATAAAATATTTTTAAAATTTAAATATTAAGCACTATTTTATACAATGTAATTGTACTTTCAATTTATTATATATTTAAAATAATTTTACATAATAGGTAATAATTTAAAAACACTACAGTCAAATCTAAAAACTATCTAAGATTGAATTTCATAGTACAGAATAAAAGAAATATTTTTCCCTAAACCTGTAGTAGTCAAACTAGATCTTAAAACTTGTATACACATGTATATCTTAATTAGAGTATTAAACACAATATTGAGTAATATACTTTTTATATAAGTTTTAATATATTGAGAGGACCAGTGGCATATACAAGGGGTAGATGTAGAGGTTAGATCCCCCTAAGCCTTTTTTTAAATATTATAAAATAATATTCTAAGTGTGAGGGCGTTAGAAACGTAAAGAAAAAATAATGATAAAATAAAAATAATGATTTGTTAGAAAATTATTCCCCTCCATACAAAATTTATGTATACCCCACTGAAGATGATCATCAATGGCCGGCAATATAATATTTAAAAAAATTTTGTAAAATAAAATAAATTATATATTATAAGTGTAAATTACAAATTATGTTTTTATTATATATTCTTAATTGATTAAAAATGTACTTTGAAATAAAATGGTCAAAATTAAAAATAAACAATACTACATTCTTTTAAATGTCTAAGCCAGGATATATGGACGTCCTAAAAACATTTTTCAGGACACCGGGACGTGAAGTCCAAAACCGATGACAATACCGATTTTACGGGACTCTAATCTTAATATTTTACAAAAAAAAATTAAATAAATTAAATATAATACAGTAAGTTCCCGATACAACGAAAAATCCTGTTATAACGAGTCAAGAAAGTCCCCTACCGAAAAGCTATGAAAACAATCTTAAATGAATATCAATACAACAAAATGATTGATAACTTACTGTATTTAAATACAAAAAAATATGGGATTATAAAATATTTAATTTAAAAAATTAAAATAATAAATAATTAAATAATTAAATTTATTGTTTGTATTACAACACTTGGCACTTCTTGTTTATACCCAACATGCAGTTTGTGATAGAAACAAATTAGATTTTTTTTTTTTAAAAAAATTGGTGTGAAATTGAGAATCTGCCTTAAATAAGCTATATTATATTTAAAATGCACATAAACTCATACATATAAATAACTTAAAAATATAATAATTTTAGTACCAAAACTAGTTTCATTTATGATCCATGATTTTAGATAATCTTTACAGTAATGAAATATGAAGGCTATACAGATAATATTGACAATCGAAAATTATAGAAAACAATTTTATTTTTGGCATAACAGAAGAAATAAATTTTCATGAAAATACAAACTATCAATATATGGTCCATAACTATATTATTTTACACAAGATTTAAAATTTAATACTTTATCACAATCATTAATTATTAATTTGAAATGTTTTTTAAGTCAGCATCAATATCCTAAAAAAAATAAACATCAGGTACATACTTTTTTAAAAAAAAGGTTAATCAATAAAAACTTCAATACTAACAATTATTACTTTCAGACTTTACTTGAGATATTAAATCAGCAAGCATACTAATCAAAGGATGTGAGTCAATTAACATATTTTCACGGACTGCATTTCCCAAAAAATGCCCATGTAACAGTTCCAATGTACTAATATATAACTTTTTAGTTGGAATAGCTAACTAAAAATCAAGGTAACAATATTTTTAAAATAATTAAAATGTTCACATTAAATTAATTAATATAATTAAAATTTAAATACTTACTAAAGGAAGCTCATAACTTTTATTTTCTTCATTATCATTGTTGGTTTTGGGCATTTTCTTTGGAGTATCATTATTACTAATTTGTGAAGTACGTTTTTTAAACATTTTTATTGAATTTATTGTTTTTTTTTTTTCTAATGCTTCTTCCTTCATACTGTCCCTTTTTGGACAACTGCATATCTTTACACCAATTTTTTTTCTTCCCAATACTTGTCCTCTGAAAAAAAAACGTATCAAGAACTGAATATAAAAAAAAATAATGAATCAAAGATTTTTATTCATGTAATCTTACTGCGATGTTTCAAGAGTAAAGATAACATTAATTGGTCTTCGGTTGAGACTCATAGAACAACTTGACTTGCACATAAATTTATACATAATATTATAAGTCTTATATTCTGAATAGGGAAAACAATCGTGCATTTGAACAACAACACTGTATCTTTGACTTTTGGGATCTTCTTCATAAATACTGTCATATTGTTCACACCATAAAATATGTTCAATTTTTTTTTTATCTAAATCAACACAAATTAATTTAATAGGTAATAAATATTTTTTTAATGTAAATATGTAACTAAAATGATACATATCACAAAATTTATCTTGTATAATGTGTATAGGACATCGTTTGATGGACAATTGTTCAAATTCAGGAGTTGCAAAAATAAGTAAAGCACGTATTTGAAGATTTTTCATTCCTAACAACTCAGTTTCATAAAAATTCCAATGGAACTGGATCGGTACAACTCTATTCATATCCAAAAATATTTTATTTAATTTTTCAGAATACTAAAACACAAACAAAATATTATATTTAATTTATTATATAACAGTACTTAAAAAATTTTTTTTTATTATTTATTTAGTTCCAATCAAAATTATATAATTTATTTTCTAAAAAGCATGACATTAAAATTAACATTTGTAATAAAGTTAAAACAAAATATAAACTTGATAATCAACATAAATATATAAATAAAATATGTATATTTTTTACATATTTATATCTCTAAATTATATTTATTGTAAATTTACAATCATTAATATTTTGAAGTGTATAAAACTATATTGATATTAAAAATAAAAATTGAATATTATAATAGATATAACAACTTGAATTTAATATATTCACTAAAAATAGACCAACTTTTATATGTTTAGTTCTTAAATAATACAAACCATCCAATGCCTTTTTGTAACTTCTGTTGGATCCAAAAAAAAATCAAAGTTGAATTCTCCTGAAAAATCATCAGTACCAATTTGCACACCAGTTGGTTTAAGATGTTCATAACAAGACTCAGAGTCTTCACTTACAGATGGTGATTCAGTTTCACAATTCGCATTCGGGTCTTCACTATCCATAACCTATTAAATATTTTGTTAATGTGTGTAAATAACTAATATATGGATATATTTCGAAAAAAAATACATAAATAATATACAACTCACCTCCATTAATTCTGACTTTTCACACTTACTGGCATCCATTTAATTGATTAATGATGTAGCACACCGTTCTATAGTCTTGAATTAGTTTTATCGTAATGGTTAACAGTCGTTTGAATAAGCAAGTCGAAATATTCGCAAAGCATGTACTGACATGCAATTTCAAGTCGAAACAAGTTTGACGATAAGACATGTTAAAGCTTCTAAGGATTGTAGGGGATTGTTCCATGAAATCATGTGTTATCAAATATCAATCGTTCTTATCAATAGGAATTCATATTATTTTTATTATTTATATTATTTATTCATATTATCTTAGATGAAAATTAATACAACTACATTATGTACAACAGTATTTGATACCTACGTCCTGTACTCGTAATTTTCGACATGTAGTTACTATAATAATCTCAAAACATAACATTATGCGCATGCAATTACTGAATCTCAATTTATTTCTACTGTAACTCCATCGGTATGGCTGAGTTTAAACAAAAACTAAAGAATCTCTTAGATACTAAGGTAAGTGAATGTATATTTAAATTTCATTAAAATTAACACTTATGAAGATTTTCTTTATTTTTTAATAATATATGTATAACTAGATTTTTTTAATTTGTAAAAGTTTTTATTGTATTATCCTAATCACAAATTGAGTTTGATTTTAAAAGAGTAAAATCGTTTTTATTTAACTTTTAAAATGATGAAGTAAGAATATACAATTCTGTATCTCTATATGATATATTTCAATATATGTAATATGGTCCAATTATATACCTTATATTTTTTTTGATCAACTTAAAAGTTAGTATTTCATTAAATTAAATTAAATTCATACAGCAAAATTGATTACATTTTAAGTTTGAATTTTCTTTAAAATAATAATATTCTTAGATACAAACCATCATATGGTTTACAGCTATTGAACCAAATTAGATTTTAGCTCAAATTTATCAGTTTTAATCTAATTATCAACCTATGAAATAATATATCTTTTTATATACCTATAAACATTTAAAACGGATAGTATTTAATTGTATTTTGAAAAAAATTTATACTTATGTGCCAATATTTCTATATATTGATATTAAATTTACATTTTTTGGGCTAAGAACTCCCTGAAACTTACAATTATAAACCATATTAAATTAAGTATTATTTTTTGTTAGACAACTGTAAAGGTACCATTAATAGGATCACAAGACTTTTGGGACAGTTCTAGAAGAAAAAGTGAATCATTTTCATTGAAAACTGTTAATAATGACAATACTACTGAAAAATGTGATGCAGAAATAATATCAAACATAGATCAAGTATATTTTAACAATTCTGAGTTTGATTTTGCTAGATTTGAACTAGAAGTAAGTTTTGATTTAATATTAAGTAAAATTTAATTTATATTGTATTTAAATAATATAGTTCTATTATGCATGAATTTTAATTATTATAATTTCTTTGAAATAACTTGTTATGAATATTTTAATATAGATGTTATTTATTGTATAACTACAATAATTATGTTTTAGAAATTACCTGGTGTTCTTGATAAAAAATTGACTGCAAATGATATAAAAAAGTTAAGGGCACAACATGAAATTGTCGAAAAACAGTTACTACAGTTAATTCTTGAAAATCAAGCTGCATGCGATGATGAATTGGATAAGCAAGTTTACCACTTTATATAACTATTTACTATTTACTAATTTATAATTTAATTGAATTTTATAGAATTGGTGTGTTACAAAATGATTTAAAATCTAGTTTAGAAAACTGTGAACATGCTAAAAATCGTTTAAAACTTGCCAAGAGGCAGATAACTACAGCTGGTTTAGGTCTATTAGGTAATTGCCGAAAAAAATCTTTGATTCTTGATTTATTAAATTCATTAAATAATATAAAAATGCTGGTAAGATTTAATGATTACTTGATTTGTTTTTTTATTTTCCTATTCAATTAATTCAAAGTGTTTATTTTTAGTTACAAACTGAAAAAAAACTAGAAGAATTAGTGTCCCAAGCAAACTACGCAAAAGGAATTGCATTACTATTAGAATGCATACAAGGTGCGTCTGCTTTTAAACAATTCACATGCATAGCTGCCCTATCTGTAAAACTCCAGGATGCATTGATTATGACTGAAGAACAATTGGACATTGTCTTATCGAATGTAAGTTGTCTCAAACCATTATACAGATATTTTCAAACAATAATTATATGAATTCATATTAATTTATTATAATTATTTTTAAGATGTGTTTCAATTTTGATCATGAGAAATATTCAGCTGTCCAAGAAGCTTATAGACGTCTAGGTAAAACAAGAATTGCTATAGATCAATTGCACATGCATTATACATCAGCTGTCCACAGTGCATCATTTGATACTATAAATTTATTTGTGGATACTGAAAAAGTGGAAAATGTCAAAAATTCATTCAATCTCTTGTGTCAGGTTGTTTATTACCTTTAAATGTATTTATATATATACATATATTACCGGCAATATGTCTAATTCTTCATTATGCATGATACCAAAAATCGAGTAAACATTACGGTATAAATATTGATTTTTGAATATATACTAATACTTTATTTTAATAACAAAAAATAATTTATTCATGTTGCTGGTAATATATATAGGATTCGTATAATAATAATTATTAAAATCTTTAATAGTTTGTTCCTGATGATCAATTAATTCCGTGTCTGATTGCATTGAGTAAAATATTTTGGAATATATTACAGAGTTATAAAAGAGCTGCTGATTGGCATAGAGAATTTAAAGATAATAATACTGATCATGAAGGTACATTTTATGAATACAATACAAACTCTTATTTTCAATGCTTATAGTTAAAGTAATTATTATTTAGTAGTATTTATATTTTGATATTCTAAAATTATGCCAAATATTTCTATAAATGTGTATAAATATATACTTTATTCAAAAAACTCTTGAATTTTAGTAAATTTAACATAAACTTAAAAATTGATTACAAGCTTTAATTTTGACTTGATTTAAGATCAAATTTTAATTTATGAATAAATAAACAAATAGTTAATATATAGAAATAAATAAATAAAACCTTAAGCTGAGAAACCTAAGACGCGTCAGGCATTTTATGCGATAAGAGAATTCCAATAAGACTAAAATGTAAATTGTGCCTAACTGTTGTGAGACCAAATATGCTATGTAATTCAATGTGTTGGACAGTTGACAGGAGAATAGAACAGAGTATGAGTATTGCGGAAATGAGAATACTTAGATGAATGAGTGGAGTGACATGAGAAGATAGAATAAGGAATAAATATGTGTGAGGTAGTATTGATGTAGTATCTATAGTGGACAAGATTAGAAAAAATAGACAGATGGTTTGGACATGTAATGAGACTAGAGAAAACAAATGCAGTAAGAGCTGTTATGAAAATTAACATTGAATGAAAAAGAGAAAGAGGAAGACAAAAAAAGTGATAGTTGAATATGATTGAGAATGATATGAGGGCCGTTGGTGTGTGCGTAGGGGATGATAAGGGTAGCCGTCCCCAAATATTTAGAAGAAAGACGAAGGAGAAAAATAAGTATAAATAAAAGCTTAGGCTGGAGTATTATTATGTTTGTAAAGTACGACCGGTTTTAAATTAAAAATTCATCATCAGGAATATACAAAATTAGTAAAACTGCAACTGAATATGAAAAAATAAAAGAAGGAATACTTTGAGAAAAATTATTATATTCAGTCGCAATTTTATTAACCATATATATACCTGATGATGAATTTTTGTTTTGAAACTGGTCATCCTTTAAAAATATAATGATACTCCTGGCTAAGCTTATATTTATTTATTTGTTTATTTTTATATATAAATATTAATTTACAAGTATTAACCACTTAATAATTTTTAATTAAATTTTTTATTATTTTACTATCAAATTTTAATAGATAGGTATTAATATAATTTAATCATTACAAAGTTATTTATTTTAGACGATATTGAAGAATGTGTGAATCAAGAATATATAAGTAAAAAATTTGAAGTCGGACCAACTCGACTATGGGGTGACATAATTACCAAAATATCTAATCTAGTGTTCAATTCTAATATGACAAAATTCAAATTTGATGACTTTCTTCAAATACTATCTATATTAAATAAGTAACTAAAATTATTTAATGATTTTATTATTTACAATTTTTATCCTAATGTATTCACTTATTACTATAACTGTAAGTATAAATAATGAATTTTAGACATATTAAAATTGGTGAAGAATTTTGCAACAGTAAATCTGAACAATTACAAAATGATACAAAAAAATCTTGTATAAGTTATTTTCATACTTATCATAAAAATTGTCTTGATGAGTTAACAATATTTTTTGAAAATGAAAGTTGGACCCCATGTCCAGTAAAACGTGAATTTAATTTATTCCAACTTCAAGTAAGAAAAAACTTAAAAATTCAAAAAATTTAAATGTATAAAATATTTTTAACTTATTTTTCTTTCTTAAGGAATTTAGAACAATTAAAAATCACATTCAAAAATCGGATACTTCTCATTTAACTCATAGTAGAAGTTCTTCAATGGATAGTAGTTCAATTAGCACAAGTGAATTTTTTCATTTTCAATTAGATAAATCACCATTTGATAATGATTTTAATACTATTTATAGTGAAGATATATTAGATACAGAGGTATTACAATTAATTAATATTAAGACAAAAATATATTATTTATTTTATTCATTCTAGATGGATGCAAATAGCATTTGTAGTGATGATAGTAACAATAGTTATGAAGAAATCGATAATTATAATATACAAGCAGAGAACTATGATCGACCACCTTTACTTACTAATACCACATTGACTGTGATGAGACATTGCGGAAAGTACTTAAAAATATGTAGCATATTAAAGTCAATTTCAGAAGATGTAGTCACCTGCTTATGTCAATTATTTGAATATTATTTGTACTCCATTCATTTGTTATTCACTTCTGATAATCTGGTGATTAAGAAAAACATTCCAGTTAAACATTATATCATTATGATTAAAATATGTTGTTTGTTATTTTTAGCCTCAAATATGTAGCAATGTAAATAGTGTTAAACTTCAATCTGTAATTACAAGAATTGGTAACACTTTAATTCAATGCAATTATGAAATTGAAGCAAATCATGATCCATTTGTAAGTGTTTGAATTGTAACTTTGTAAATATAAATAATTTTTTTATTGTGATATTAGTATAGAAAAATAATATTAGCACTTCAGATAATTATTAATAATAATAGATATTTATTAGATTATAAAGATACAGGGAAAAATGTAAAATGTTAATTGTATGAATCCATTTTTTTTTATATACTTTGTAATATTATGGAAATTGGGTGATTGGGCAAACAAAGTGAGATGTGGTGTGCACAAGTAATTTTTCTAATTATATGTAGTACATTGTGCCAGTGTATGATCGTGGAGGTGTTGATGTGACCAGCAGCCTTAAAACCTATAATTTTGCTGTTAATTTACATATTATTATACCTAATTATTATTTATTTTTTATTAAGTTTTATAACAAATTGTTTTTCAGATTCGAGAGCCTGTGGCTTTACACATGTTAAGTTTTTCAGATGCAAATAATTTATATGGTGTTTCTGAACGAATTGTTGCTGTAGAATCTCTAGTATTCTTAGGTGAACAGTACAAATTATTACTTTCATATTTAAATACACTATTAACATCAGACACAAGCAGTTATTCATTACAGCAGTTCTATAATCAAGTATAAAGAATCATAATATGTATATGTAGATAATAAATAATGTAGTATCATATTTTAATTTCAACATTATTTAATATTTATTTAAGACTGTAGCTGTAGCCGTTGATTTACGAAAACCAGTTTATGGTCGTGTTATATGTAAAGCTATTGATTACAACCAAGTACTTAGCATGATGGCCAAAGTAAATTGGGAAGTAAAAGATATTATGTGTGAACACAGTAGATATGTTGATTACTTTCTTCAAGTAAGATAAAGTTATTTAATGATTTAAACTTAATTTTCAATTACAAATTTAAGTCATATTTAAATATTTATTTTACCATTACTAACTTGTTTTACTCTAGGAGTTACGGGCATTTTTTAAAGCTCTTAAGACATCAACATCAAATATTTATTTAAATGAGCAGATATTACACTCCATTTGGGAAGCTATTGGCATTCTTGTATCATCAGTTTTTATTGAAGGGTAAATGTTCAGTTGTGATTTCAGCGTATTTTTTTTAAACATACTATATTTACAGATTTTCATTAGCAAAAAAATGTTCAAATGCTGGCCGGGCATTAATGCAACTTGATTTTACACAGTTTATGTCACAAGTGAATTCAATCTGTCCAGTTAATTCATTACTTCATAAAGAATTAGTTGAAGTTTATATCAAGGCTTATTACTTACCTGAAACCTCTTTAGAAACTTGGACAAGAGATCACCCGGTAATATTGAATATTTTGTTATAAGATAAAGATTAATTGAATTCTATAAATTTTACTCTTAGGAATATTCTCATAAACAGTTATTAGCTGTTATCAACTGTGTGTGTCAAAATAATAAACGGTTAAGGCAGAAGCTCACAAATGCATTGGAAGAATCTATTCAAAGATAATCTTTTTTTGAAACTAAATTATTATTAGTTGTTGATTTTATTTTTATCTTTAAATTGATCAATATTAACAATTTATTTAAAATTATTCATGTATTTTTTATCAAGTCATTTATAAAACTTTATTTTATTATTATTTATTATTTTAGTACACATTAAAACAAATTATTTTGGATTGTTTTTTCTACTAAATAAGTATTAAAAATCATATGAGTTATTTATTTTTACATTCCGTTGATTGTTATCTCAAATATATAATAATATACATGAATGTTAATTACATTTTTATTTTTTTTTACTTTGTCAATTTTTAATTTTCAGAATAAGAACAAAATAAAAAAAAGAAGTTTTAAACTGTGTCTTAAAAAATCTCAACAAAAGATGGAATGTATTTTATAGTTATGGTTTTAAATGTGATATAAATACAGTGTAATAGATTCCCACACTATATATTGCATATTTTACCTTACAATTTCTTGTAATGAATAGTGAAATTCTTTAATTATTTATTATTTTTCTATTATACAAGCTAAAAATAATTAATAGATTTTTAAATTCATGATTTATTCATTACTACAATATAATTGTTATATGAAAATATTTAAACGTAAATTTTATTTTTAATCATTATATATTCATTCAAAAAAATTACATAAACTATAGCAAGCGGAAAATTGTGAGTATGCCTGTTTTTTTTCTGAATAAATGTTATTAGTTATAAGCTCCCAAAATGTTTGCCCATAATCTTACAAAATCTAATACCCATCCTGTTAATAAGAGATGAAAATATACAGTCTATATACTAGAATTCTGTGTAATATGGACTGAAGTATACACTTATGTGTGTATCAGTCCATGCCATGTACTTTATAATCTAGAAAACTAAATTGATTGTTAAGTTGCTCAATAAGAAAGTGCATAACATTGATAAAATAATAAATACAGAATTAATATAATGCATATAATAAACTTAATTTAGTATTACTATAAACTATTTTTATTATTTCATATTAAATGAATATTTTAATGATATTTAGGCTAGTTAACATATGTATACTATACCTCAGATGATAGTTTTAAAATCTTTATTATTTATAATTTATATTAATATATTATTAAATTTAAATATAAAAGACAAAATAATATGCTCTACAGATGACATCCTAATTTTATTACTAGATAAATCAAATAAATTATTGTTTAAATTAACTAATAAGGTCATGATTTGATAATAATTACATGGCAATAAATATAATTTTCTAAAATTTTTAAAAATAATAAATAAGTTATTATTATTAACACGACTTTTCGTGTTTTCGATCACAGTTCATCGATCGTGTCTGTGCCTGGTAAAGAGGTACTCGACGATTCAGATAGATATAGGTATAGGTTAGTGTCGGATTACCCATTAGGCTGAGTAGGCACCCGTCTTAGGGCCTCACTCATTAAAGAGATCCAGTGAAAACGGAAAATTATAGTTTTTTTTATTTTATAATACCGTATTTTATTTACGAATTTATGGGACAAAAGTCATTATGAAATATAATATATATTAAGTTGTAGGTGTTATATGCAGTAATAATAATAAAATTATTTGGGAAAAAATAAAAATAATATAATAATTAATACATTTTTCTTAGGAATAAAAAAATTAATAAACATGATTTTATTTATTAATAATATTTGGTTATATTAAAACTTTATTTTAATTATTGGATAGTAATGTTAAAGATGTAAGTAAAAAATAATTTTGCCCTAAATTTTAATTGCCTAGGGGCCTATAAATGTTTAATCCGGCACCGTATACGGTTTTAATTTCGTATAACAAATTATAGTCAGTCACATTGCATTGACGTAACTGGGTCAAATTACCTCCCATGAAAACACGACGATTATCAGTAAAAACATTGATGTTCGTCATCGTATCTAACGAATTATATTTTATTTCACGAAAATTATCGTGTTATCGAAAAATAACATAGGTAACTAGTACGTTTTTGTCGAAGGTAAAATAGCCCATAATCCGTGCGAACAATAATGATATGGTATGCACTCATGACGTTGATTTTATTTTTCATAATTTGTATGCATACTTCGTTTTTTAATTCTAAAACTGACGGTCAACAACGCAAATGTGATCTCGATTATGTATTTTGATTAGCTCCCACCAAGTGGATAAAACATTTTTTTTTGCTACGCAATTAAGCATTTAAACATAAGTAGGTACACGAGAATTTAATCACCTCGCCATACGAAATGCACGTGTCGGCGGAGTGAAAAAGAATAGAAAATCTAATCGGAACAATAAAACGAAGTATATACGAAGAAGTTACACGTTCCAAGAGCTTGTGGAAATTACGGAGCGCTTGACAACAGTGATAGTATATATATATATATATATATATATATTATTTCGATACCAGAGAAAAGTGAAAAGGACCTTCAGTCGAGTACGTCCCACCACCGCCACCATGACCCGTGAATCGAGAACACGAATTGAATAGCATTCGGTGGGTTGGTCATACTGAGCGCACGTGACGTCACATAGAGGCGGCCATATTTGCTGTTTACACGTAACAACGGCCGTAGAACGAGAAAGAGCGAGAAAGTGAATGTATGCGAGTCGCAACTCTGTGCCCGTTCACATTCGTTGTTGTGCGTGCGCGCGTTTTGTTTGTGTACGTGTGTGTGAGTGTGCAATGTGTATGTATAATTCGCAGCGCTGCTCTCTCGTCCCCGACTTGTAATTATTATTATTTTTTTCTCATTGTTATTTTCTCCCCCGCCCCCGTCCCTCATCGTCACCAACGCTTCCGACATTACAATAATACATCGTGCGCGGAACACCGTTGTCAGGAACCCGAATACGTCCGGACGACCGCTACTGCCGTGTACTGTATAACGGACGTACGTTTTTAGTGGTGTTCTCTTTAGACCGTTGCGTTCGCGCGTGTGATGTGCAAAATGGAAACGGCTACGAACGCCGCGACGGACGTGAATCATGACCGCCATATTCTGAAGCAGCCAACCAAGGTGCTGTTGACGTTGAGCAACGTGCTGCTGCCCAAAGAGAAGCTCACGTCCACGCCGTCCATGATGGACGGGCTGGACTTCGAAACCGAAGTCGACCTGAGGATCGTCGGTTGCGAGTGGATTCAGACCGCGGGTATACTACTCAAATTGCCACAGGTAATTAAATAAATAATGGCTGGTCGCAATGTTCTTAGGATTCGATAGATTGCCAATTGTTTTTGATTGATAAAGACGGCTGCAACCGATACGAGATCAATTCTCGCGCCTGTCACGTTGTTTTGGTTTGGTCGACGAAATAATGTGGCGATAGCTAAGCAAATGATTTGCGTATGCTCTGTCTGCTGCGAACCGTTTTTCTGCGATTTAATGTTTCGTCGCTTAACCCAAGCGCGTTGCGCAATCCGTTTTTCCCACACGTTAGATAACGTTATATTTCCCTTGACTCATCCTCTGTTTATAGAACATGTGTTGTCGTTTTGTAATTGTTTGATTACGTTTGTTTACTCTATAAGTCATAGGATTTTACAAATGTATTTTTCTCCTCTCCCCTTATAATTTCTACTAAAAGCCCATGATTATTATGTGCTAATAATAATTTTTATCATATAATACTTCCAATTTAATCTAACTAGGATTGAGTAATTAATGAAATATGTCAAAATTGCTGTTTTATTATTGATACTATTACATGTAAAATATTTTACTCTCAATGTCGATAGTTTGCAATTATCAATAATGAATAGTCTTGATAGACAATGAATATTTTGAAAAGGCAATATTGGTGTGACCAATTTGTGTGTAATAAATCCCAAACCCTAATCATATTGAATTGGTACTAAATCTTTAATAGGCAGGAATTATGTTTAGTACATTAATTAAAATTCTGTGATACACTGGTATTTGAAATTGAAAAGTATTTACTGTGGACAAATATTAATTAAGCTAGATATCTATATATATTTTTTTCAATTTCATCTTTAAAACTCTTAACCATAACTTTTTGGTTTATAGCTTGTCAGATAGTATTTTTCATTTCATTTGGCCAACTATAATGTGCTTATAAAGTTATTTTTTATTTAAAATATACTAACATTTAAATAAATCAATAAAAACCTTTATATTTTTGCATTAGGTATGTACTTAAATGGGTCTTCTGTAACATAAAAACAATACATTGAAAATATATTAATAATGATAATTCAATAATATTTCCTTTATGCTAGTATTAAATAAAAACTAGGTACAACTTGGCTAGTATTTAAACGTTTCAGTAAATTACGATATTATAGGTAGATTGATTTCTCATAAATATGCTAAAATATTTCTAGCATTTCCTAGTTTATTCCAACAATGTTAGTAATCTTTATGTATATAAGTATAGTCATAAGTTTGTATAAAGTTTGCTGATCAAATGAACTATCATTGAGTTTATAATTTTATCATATAAAATAAATGACTAATTTTATACTTTTATTGCTTCTATTAATCTTTGTTATATTTATAATTTATGGAATTAATGTATTTCCTACCTATGCCTTAAAAATATAAATTTAGAAAAGTAAAATATAAATATAAAAATATAAAATATAAAAATATTATATCATAGTCATAGTTCTATTGATAAATCTTTATTTTGATTATTTCTTTAAAATGTTTTAAAAGACATAACTCTGAATGTGTTCAATTGTTATATAATTTATATTTATTTTTATTATTTAAATACTATATTAAATACATAATATAATTAATTAAGTTATCCTATGTTTAAAAAAAAATTCAATTTTATTCTTACTTAAAAAAAAATTAATTTTTATTTTTATTAGTACTTTTATTGAAATTAATATTTATTTATAAAATAGGTAAAAATAAATTTATATTTATAATTTACAGGTTGCAATGGCCACCGGACAAGTGTTGTTTCAACGATTTTACTACACTAAATCTTTTGTTCGACACCCAATGGAAATAACAGCAATGGCATGCACATGTCTGGCCTCTAAAGTTGAAGAATCGCCACGACGTATTCGTGATGTTATTAATGTTTTTCATCATATTCGCCAAGTTTTAAATCAAAAGTAAGTTGAGGTAGTTTTTATTTATCGTTAATAATATTTTCCTCTTACAAATCTTGTTTAATCACAACTGACTAATCTGTTGGGCTTATATGATTCTGAATATACATAAATTTGGACCTTAAATATAAATTTATTATATCTATTTAAATGCATCTTGCATATTTCAAACTTATTTACTAATTTATTAAATTTAAACCTAAAAAATTATTTTTTTTTATCTAGAAAATTATGTAGGATTTATGAGTATACTTATAGACCTATTCAGTATATATGTATATATACTTAGATAAACTAGACATTTTCATTTATTAATTTTGATTTAAGGTAAGTTAGTGTTGTAAAATTTCTTTTTTTTAAAAAAAAAAAAAAAAATGTTTTCCTATCAATCCTGTGAGAAGTTGTCTGCTGTTTTAAGGACAGTTGTAAAGTTCGTTGGTTAAATATCGATTAGTAAATTGACATTCAAATTTTAATCATAGATTATAACCTGGTGAGTTGTACAGTTGGTGATTTGGCCATGATTAGTTGATCAACAAATTATACAATACTTTCATAAATTTTGATTACAGCCTGTATTCATTTTTGTGATATTTGTTTTATCACTCATCCTGTGAAATTTAAATTTTAAATTTTCCAAAACTGTATTCAGTTTTTGATATTATTTTAATTTTTTTTTACTTTGATCGTTATGGAGCAATATCCTTAGGTTGACAAATCATGTATAATATAATGATCAGTTCTACAATATTTACCTAGGTAGTTACCAAGTGTGCATTCAAAATATGGACAAATAATATAAAATAGGAATTCTAATAGAAATAATGCACCAAAATAAGTAGAATATAGTTTATATTTCCTTGATATTATAATTGATATGTAATTTAATTATTAATAGTTGTTATTTTTATATTTTATATTTAATAATTTACAATATGAGTGTTTAATTTTATTTATTTTCAATACAATGACTTTTTTTGTGATCAAACTTAAATCTAAAAATATTAGGGACAATACAGTGATATGGATAAATCCTTTAGAATTTATTTTACAAATTTAGATTGTTTTTAAAAAATAATAAAAACTATTAAAATATGCATTTAAAAATAATTATATTTGATTCAGTAGAAAATAAATTAAATTTGTGTCTAGAGCCGCAATAAATTAAATTATTAGAAAAAAAATAATATAATTTCATAAACAACCGAGCTCTAGTCATAAAATAGTTTATTAACAAATTCACATGACGTATGAATTTTGAAATAATAAATTGATAACATTGAATTTGATAACTTGAAATATATAACAGAATAAACTAATCATTGTTTTACCTTTGTCGATTGGTCGATTAACATAATGGACCTATAATAAATGATTGGAAGGTTAACTGACCCTGTACAACTTACCTTACATTGTATTATATTTTAACTCTTAATCATTATTTAACCAACCACTGTACAAATGGCCCTTATTTGTAGACTTATTAATCTAGATATAATCTTCATTTCAATATTATATTGAACAAACTAATTAACTTTTAAGTTCAAACTCTGCTTTAATATGTATATCAATAAAATATAACATTTAAGTTGACATATTACATTATTTTCAATTGCATTTTCATATTAAAGTCAATTTTTCTACTCGTTGACTAGTTTTAGATAATGTTAAAATATTTATTATGTACTCTTTTCTTCCATGTAATATATGGTATTTCTTATTGGTGGAAGTTGAATGGAATTTCCAAAGTTTCCTATTAGAATATTTTGTAGAAATCCCTATTTATATGCATATTTATTTTTCGTTGTAATTTAATTACATTCTTACATATTTATTTATTTATTTTAATTTTTTTTTTTTTTTTTTTTTTTTTTTAATTTTAGTTAAGATAATTTATATTTTCTTAGTTGTTTACTTACTTTCAGATATCCTACAGCAGTCGCAAAATACACATTATAAAATATTTTAATATAATTATATTTTAATAAATGGGGAGTAAAAGATTACATTTCCTTATAACATTTATATTTATTCAGGTTATGTTATTTGTTATAAAAATTCTTTTTTAGTTAAAATAAAGTAAAAAAAAAAAAATTTAATATTCAATTTATTAATTATAAATTTTGAAGTATGTTCTGATAAACATAAATAATAACAATTTAATTAAATCTATTTATTTTGTTTATCTTAAATTTTACCTTAACATTTATATAACATTTTTCTTGTATTCATGCAAATAAAAAAAACGACAAATAACATAGCTAGTTCTTATATTTAATATTATATGGCAATGTTAATTTTAAGTTGCACTTAATTCGCACTTAATTACTATTATTTATTTTTCTTCAATCTAATTAAAGCTACAATGTGTTGACTTAATGCGATAACTGTAGGGTGCACAAAAATCCATTGTTTTTGTTGCAATTTGTTTTGTTATTTATTTTTATTTGTAAATTGTCTAATGCAACAAATTCAGTGGTTGTTAATGTTAATCCAAGTGCAAATATAGAGCACAAATTTATTTTATAACTTGCGTTTTCGCAGATACTTTCCACAGCTGACCGCCGGGTGAGTTGCCCTCGGTTTGAATTGTGGAGAGGAAAGCGAACGTGGTGGATTCACATTGAAATTGATGGTCGTCACGTCAAGAACACTATTGGACCCCTTAAAAAATTATATTGTAACATGATTTAATCAAAAATAAGCTATGATGTTTTCCCTCCAATAAAGTGTTAGGGTCTGTCAAAAAAAAAAAAAAAAAAAAATTAAATATTTATATATTTGAGAAAATGAGAGGTATAGTATAAATTCTATGTGCATAACATATTATGTGCTCTAATTTAGTGATTATACTTAACCATAAAAGTTTTGTATCAAGCGAACAACACAGAATGTCACAGACAATTGGTAACTGTATTTTGCACTATGTTCAACACAAGGAAAATCAAGATATCAAATCATATGTGAAGATGCCTTATGAACCATTTGGTGGTTATCTACATCGTACAAGGTACCTACTCTATTTGTAGACGTTTAAATGGACTTGGATTAAACCAGATATTGAAAGTGAACTTTGTTTTTCATATTTTTGTTTGAAGGTGAATGTTAATTGATTAACAATTAATGAATTATGGACAAAAACCATGGTTAAAGTATTTAAATTATTGATTTTTAAATGCGCGTGGGAATCAAGCCAAGAGTTCAAATCATTTAATAACAGGAAAAATTTAACATTATTGTTAGATTATCTGATATTTAACTTAATGTTTTTCTTGTATGTTTTAAATAAAAATCGTGTTTTGGATTTGAGGTTAATGGCATTTTAATCTTATCAAATGACTTCAAAGTAATTAACTATATAGTAATATTGTGAGATATTTCCATCATCTTATATTTTATTAGATGGTACAAATTTAAATACTGCTTATCATAAAAATGATTATGAGCTTTGTTCAATATATTATATTTTATAAATTTATTATTCTTAATAATAGCATATCCTAAATCAACTTGTTAATAAATTATTATCTTTTTTGTATCCTAAGTACATAATATTATAATGAAAAAATCTCAAAATATTAGTATTTATTTAATAATGTATAAAAAAAAAGAATCAAATTTAAAAAAAACTATATATATACATAGTGTACTTTAGAATACAGATAATAATTAAATAACATTCGAGTATATTATAAGTTCATTATTTTTAATTAAAAATAGTTATATACTTTTGCTTAACGTTAGTATTCCACAGTATTTTATTAAAACGTCTAGTCAGTTGTGGTTGATCATATTATTTATTCTTTTTTTAACTCATGGAACTGCCATGTGATCACTAGTCCAAAACAAGCCCCAAAAATACCCCGCCCCTGTTGCAGATTGATTACGCCGCTGGTACTTGATCAAAATTATGTACAGAAAAAGACGCAGGTAATAAAAGCAGAACGACGTGTACTCAAGGAGCTTGGCTTTTGCGTGCATGTTAAACACCCACATAAACTCATTGTCATGTACCTACAGGCACTTGGATTTCAAAAACATCAATCATTAATGCAGATGTCCTGGAACTCCATGAATGATTCATTACAAACTGATGTATTTGTTCAATATGATCCAGAAACAATTGCATGTTCTTGTATATATCTATCAGCCAGGAAATTACAAATACCGTTACCAAAGAGCCCTCCGTGGTTCTCTTTATTTAATGTAAATGAAACTGACATCCAGGACATCTGTCGCAAAATTCTCAGACTCTATCTTAGACCAAAAGTAAGTAAAAAATCAAAGTTAATTTTTTCAGTTTAACCATATTTGTTTGTTATTACTTTTCAGGTTATAACTGAGGATTTAGAAAAGAGAGTTGAAGAATTAAAGAAAGAGTATGATCATGCTAAGGAGAAAGCAAGAGCAGCCATTGTTACTCCAGCAATACAAACTGAAGTTGTAACAAATCCTCCGAGTAATGGAATAACTACAGTAGCTTCAGAAAATACTGGTTCAGCCACTCCAAATAAGTAAATTATAACTTACCTTTATTGAGATATTTATTTTACAGTTATTTTGCTTTACAGAAAACAAACAAAAAAAAGAAGTAGAAGTAGAAGTAGAACACCCTCAGAAACTAAGTCTGGAAGTAGAAGTCCAAGGCATTTAAAGAAATCTAAAAAAAGAAAGTAAGAATAAGATTTTTTAATTTTATCGTTTTATTGTAACAACTAAATCATTATAAATAAATATTAACATTGGAAATGAAATATTTTTATTTTATGTTGATTAGCCATGATCGATCTCGTTCTAAGTCAACATCTGATAGAAGGTCTAATAAACACCATAGAAAATCAAACAAGACCAGGAAACGATATTCAAGTTCATCATCTGGCTCATCTAGTTCCTCTGGATATCGTCGTCATAAATCATCTACCAATAATAAGTATGTTAAATATTTATTAGCTATATTATAAATTAAATTGTACTAACATAGGTACATTTTTATTTAGAACTGCATTTCTATTAAAAGGCAAATAATTATTAAAATACTTGCTTTAGTTTCTGGAATATTAGGTAAGGTGGTATATGTATCCTACTATATAATCAAAAGAATTTTATGTTAGGACCTTTTTGATTTTGAGTAAAACATGAATTATATTACTCTAAATTTTATTTTTTATTATAACTTTATAACTCCAATTTATCAATATTCTCAATGATGAATTGGAACATTATACATATTATATTTTGTTATCATATTTAAATGTATCATCTGATGTCTAATAAACTATTATTATATATTCATTATATTATTTTCCTAAAATATAAGAGTACTTCAAAAGTTAATTATAATACCTATTTAACTTAATCAAAATCTACTGGTTGTTTCTTAAGATCTTTTTAAAATAAGGAAAATAAATAGGATGTACAGGATTTTGATTTTAATCTTTCATTTTGATTGTAAACAAAAAAAAATATTGAACATTGAAATTAAAAACTTACAACGATAATTATTTATAAGTACTAGAAAATGAAAAAAAAAAATATTTTTTTCATGTTTTTTTAATTGTTTTGAAGATATTAAATAAAATGTGTGTACCATTTTTCCTTTAATCTATTATTTTAATTTCAATTTAAAACTGTAATTTACTCAAATCAATGATTGATTATAATGATAATTAAGTATACAATAAAATTTTTTAGTTGTTTTTCAATACAAAGGAAATAAGTATAAATTAAAAAGCTTAATATAAATATTTATATCCTTTTTATTGTTTAAAATTAGAAGATTTTCTTATCATTAACTTAATAACTAAACATTTTATATAGACTTTGACTCAAAATATTTTTTTCAAATTTAATATTAGTTGATGGATCATCATTTTCAGCATAATACTTTTAAGTACAATTTACAACTTAACTGGATCTTAATTTTTTTTTTTAATTTATATGCATGATACATTATACATATTTAAAATAATAATATTATATTTTTTATTAAATAAAATATTTTTATGTTGTAGACTAGTACCTACTTACCGTGATTACAAAGACTATAGAGATTATCGAGGTGATGAGAATTACAAATCCAAATCAAGAAGTTACAATTACTGGAAAAAATATTATAGCTATGAATAGACTATTGTATTTCGCCTACCTTACAACATGGTAATAATATGTAATATAACTGTTTATTTTATACAATTTAAACAAGGTGCATTTTTATAATGAATATATAAATACATGTTTGTATTTATTTAAATATATTACATAAATATTCAATTTATATGTATATTTTTAATTATTTTCAGGCAGGGTTTACTATTATATAAAACAAAATATTGATTTTTGCTAATAGATGTTTATCATTAATTTTTTTTTTCTTGATACCATCTTTATATAATAGTATATTAGTAAATATAACTAAATTTAATTATAATTATTCATTATGTGAATGTATATTTGTAAAATTATTCTTAAATTAAAATTAATAAATCAACTGTGATATGCAAATTCTTGATGTATAAATTTGATACTGAAGGTCTTATCAAAGTTTTTTGTGGTTATTCATTCATGTTACATGTCTATATTTGATTTTGTAAATAATGTAATAAATGTATGTTCATTATTTTATTAAATTATAAACTGATAACTGATCATAAGTTTAAAATTGTGTATTTGAAATGTATGTGAAATGTATGTAATATCATGCAGTTTATTGAAAAATTGTACAATATATGACTGATATATATAATAGTTAATTGTATAATAAAGTGATTATATTTTTAATTATAACTTTTAGGAATTTCCAAAATAGTCACAATTAATTGATAAAATAGTATTTTATACACGGGATATATTTCATATATTCTGTGCTTTATATTTGTTAACTAATGCTTATAAAACACATTATGAATCAGGGTTGAATGAAACATGATTTCCGAGTAAAAATCCGTGATTGTGAACTCTTAATATTATAATTTGTTTCATAATATGCGATAGCGATAGGCTGTTAACGAATCAAATGAACAACGGAGTGTGGACTTACAAGTCTAGCCAAGACACAGTGGTCTGAAATCAAATTTTAGGAGGAAAAAATAAACACTTAGTTTTTAGTTAAAATTCAAGGTAATAATATAACACATTTTACAATTAACAAAATTATGCAAATCTTTAATATTTTTTGACTAATAATAGCATTAATAATAGAATAGCCTATTCTATAATCAATGGTACTATATATTCAATACTAGCTCTTCATATTTCAAACTGTAAAATTTGTAAATTTTAACCTAGACATGAGGGAGTTACAATCCCTTAACCTCCCCTACGTGAGCCACTGATATGTGCAGGGGTGGAAGACGAGGATTCATCCCTGGACGTAAAATTTTAGATAGTGTAATTTTTTTAATTATTAACAACTAATTTGATAATTTTGATACTGTTAAATACTGTTATTATGTTAAAACTCAATAAGCAGTGGCGTAAACTAGGTGGTACAAATGTGGCACTTGCAACACCACATCTAAAATTTGGTGGTGCAAATATATGTTTTTGCACCACCAGAAAATTATTGAAATTTGTATACCTATAATATTATTTTCAAGAGCCAAGGAAATCGGCATACTAAAAACAAAATTTGATTATTATTTTTTTTTTTTTATTAATATTATAATAAAGGTTTTAATGCTAAAATAATTCAAAATTTACTTGTTATTTAAAGAAATATATGGGAAAATATATAGTTTATTGGGAAGAAATTTACTTAGGAAATTGGAAAATTGGTGTGTTGGAAATTATAAGTTGAGAATATGCCTCTGCACCACCAGCAATTGGATCCAATTTACGCCACTGTCAATAAGTATGATTGTATATTAATTATTAGAAAAAAAATCTTGAGAAGAGTAGGTACTTCATTATTGGTCTATGATAGGGCGTAAGAATTCCTAATTCCACTTCTGTATATATATATATTGAATTAATACAAAACAATATTAATTTCAATGAGCTTTAAATGGACTTTTTCTTTCTGAAATTTCAAACCACTGTATGAGACTTCGAATTCCGAGAGTCGAGGTCGACAATCGATTGGGATTCAAAAAAAAAGAGTTAAAAAGTTGATAGTCGATTTACTGATTCAACCAGGGAGGGGCAAATGATCCCTGTTGCCCCCCCCCCTAAGTACGCCACTGCCAAGAACGAGAGCCGAACCGGTCGCAGCGGAAGTTGCGATCGGTACAATCCGTAACGCAAAAAAAATAAATCGTTTTTCATTTTGTTGCCCTGCGGTGGCCAAAAAACGTTTCGAAACAAACACGTCGCGCTGCGCGGTACCGTGTGAATACGGATTGTTTCTATTCGAAACGACCGATTTTTAAAAAACGCATTTCGAATTGTCAGCGGGTTCTGGAACAACATGAAACCGTAAGCCAGGGGCGGATCCAGAGTCGGGAAACTGTGGGTCAAACCATTTCAAGAGGCCATTTATTAGGGATGAAACTGAATTAGAAATTAATACCTTGTAAAAAAAAAAAAAAAAAAAAAAAAAACAGTATGCTCATAAAAGTGTATAAGTATATTTATATTACATTTTAGAATTAGTGATACCACCGATAATGACTTATTTACGATTAATAAATATAATATAATTTTATCAGCGCAACAAACGTACGGAATAAAATATGATTTACTTAACTTTCTACTAAAACGATATAAATTAAAATCTAATTTATGATGAATTGAAAAATTTTAAATTTTGAATGTACATGGTATTCATTGTTCATGTAACTCCGATGGGCCAAGAGTCCAAATTAAGGTCTAAAAAGAGAAAAAATTTTCCAAGAGGCCAATTTTATCAAAAAATATTAACTGTGAGTCAGCTACCGTAAGCACATTCAATTCAAACGTATTCAGTTGCTGTAACAACCTCGCGTAAACAACGCCGTCGTTGTATCGTGTAAGAACACCCGTCCCCAGGACAAGTCGTTCAGGCAGTCGCTTTTGACCGCGCGCGCCCTCCCCGAGGCAGCGGTGTTGTTCCGCTGCGACCGCGTCCCATGTTCGCTTCGACGTGCATCGTCCCACGCACAATAGTTTTGTCTGTGTCCATGCACGGTGAGGATCGAACCGGGCAGTCGGGATACCGGCAGGTGGTAGGTCGCTTTTACTCGTGGGAAAGTTTTTTAACATTTTTTTTTAGGTTTATCGGTTGATGCTCATTGCTTCGACAGACATAGACGCATTTTCCAATGCGATTCCATTAGAAACTGTCTAAAATTAAATAAACGGTCTTTTAATTGTTAATAATAATATAAAGAATTCAAATTATCAAAAAAATGTACAATAATTTTATATGAAAATGTACGTTTTTTTTTTATGGTTGTTACCGTATTATACTTTGGTACATCAAAATGAACCGCTTTTTCTTATTTTCCCGGTAGAAATTTCTGACCCAGTCCGGCCCGGTGTACGGTATAATTTGAACATTTTTTTGTTCGTACGCCGATGGACGGACACACACAGTACATTTTGTATCGTTATACGGTGTTCGAACAACACCGACTGTTTTGTTCAAACATCAAAATCGACCGCACACTACTTTATTTTTCTTCAGCTTTCCTAAGAACGCTGTTCTAGTTTTCGTATATTATGGCTCCTGTTTCGTGCACCGTACATTTAGCTTTAGCAGCTACTGCCCTACGGCATTGTTTCTTAAAACTAAAGGTAAAAAACAAAAAACAAAATGAACTTAAGATTAGCTACAGAGAATATCTGAAAACTGTACGGTTTCAATTCGAATACCGATTATGGGCACCAGGGACGGCGCGAGGGGAGGACAATAGGGGCAGTTGCCCAGGGTCACGCGCCTTAAATTATAATTAAGGTCCCGCGGTTCTGATTTAACTGAACTCATGCCTTAGAGAGTAAATCCAAAGAGACTAATTAAATTTATTACATAGATATGAAATTAAAACAACAGCGTTATGGCGTAATCATTTTTTTTTTTTAGATTCAGTTAGATTAATTTTTGAATCTTCAAGAATGAATACTTTAAAGAAAAAAAATGAATAAAGGCAAACAAACAAAAAAGTAAATTATTGTTTAGTTGTTAAATAGTTAATTAGTTTATTACAGTAGGTACACCATTTTTATTTGTAATTAGAGAATTTTAATAATGTATGATTTTTTTTTCGATATAACCTTAAGATACTTAATTTTAAATTAAGTGCAATATTCTCAAATACTAGAAAAAGTAATAAGTGAAATATTAGACTTGTACACTTAATTGAAAGAGTAAAAATAATTTCTAGAATATTAATTTTAAATATTTTCATTAGGTATATTAAATTTTAAATATCTTACAAACTCAAAAAATGTAAATAGAAATGAAGTACCTTATGCCTACAATTTGTGAAAAAAGAATGAACTTTTAAAAAATAACTCAACTCAAGCTAAAATTGAAGGCAAAATATTACTTAAAGTTGGGTACAGACAAATTATAATTTAAATAGAAACATATCATATTTAGGTATATATATAGATAATATAAATATTTATATAGTTAATAATACATTTCACTAAATAAATATAATCTAAATTATACATTTAATTCAATTTTGAATATGAATTAAGCGAATTTTAAAAATTGAAATTAATGATATTAATTTTATTATTGACATCAATATATGCTTTTGTCATTAGTCGTTACAATAAGCATAACTTTATTTTTAATGTCTTTAACATTTTTAAAACACTTTTACTTAAAAAATTAGTGAGCTAACTTGACTAATTTATAAGTTTTTAATTTTAGAATTATTTTAAAAGAGTAATAATAATATTTGTAACTCATTAATATTCTTTATTAATATTATTTTATCTAATTAAAAATAATAAATATGTTAGATTTTTTTATAAATAAATGTAAGAAATTCCTTGCTTCTTTTCAGTTATTGAATAATTTAATTTTGTATAAATAATTTTATACTAAATTAATAATTTCTTTATTATTACTTAGAGCTAACGTTAATAAAATAAATCAATTTGAACTGAAAGAAAAAAAGAAGATGAATACCTAATATTTTGTTAAACAAACAAGATCAATCCACGTTAGGTGGAAAAAAGAAAAACATTATGTACCTAAAGCATCCGTAAAGTCAGCACAACTTATTTTATTCAGAAGTATTTTAAAATATTTAAATTAATTCACGAGTCGTGTATTATCTTGTTTTAATTTAAGGATTAATTAAACAATGGATTTTACATTCTTATCTAATCCTCGTCGAAAGTAAAAATTATAAATAAAATAAAATACACTACTAGAAAAAAATAAGATGCATTCAATAATTTTTAAAATGTATTAACTTTAAACATTTTTAATATTTAGAACTCGGACTAGAAGCCAAGTTAAATTACCATCGAAAATTATAAAAATTGAAGATGCAGTTAAAAAAACAACAAATGTAAAACAGGAAACTTGCACCGAGACACCTAAAAATGGGTACGTATTTAGTAATTATTTTGTCAATTAATTAAAATTCATATTTATATATGATAATATAACTTAGTTATGTACAATGCGATCACGGTAAGTGGAAATTTAATTTAGTAATTTATCATTTGTTATTCGTAAATACTTTTTGGTTTTATTATTCCATAAAATAAGTAATTGCTATTAGTTTTTGAAGTATGAAATATTTCACAAAAACGTGAAACATTGTATTTTTTTTTTTTGAAAACAAATTATAATGATTGTTTTTTATCAATTATTAATAGTACAATCCATGAGTTCTTGGTATAATCATTGATATTAACAACATTTATGCAATAAGTGCCGTGGCTGACATATTATACTATTTATACTATATTAGGGTCTTGTTTTCGGCTGTTAATAGCAAAAATTGGTTTTTTCCCCAGGAATGGCTTATCGTCGACGACGATGCAAGGATGGTTCTATTATTGTGAATTGTGACTAAATATATTATATAAGTATAATATTTATTACACAGTTGACAGTCAATAATTTATTATCGCAATCATAATCTTAACGTTATAAACTTATAACTTATATATAGTTTCTAACTAGAAAAATACGCATGGTTTATTATCATAAAATTATTATTATTATGGTGAATAGACGTCTGACGACAATAGTGTACCTATAGACATTTAATATTTATCATATAATCTTTTAATTTTTATAATAATTATTAGTGTACGAACATTTATCGACATAGTACGTTTTTTTATCAATTTAAAAATGTTGAACACTATTTTGAATGTATAATACCAAAAAAAAACCATCACTAATGAGTAGGTAATGGGTAATTAGTGATTGGTTTCAGTAGTATAAAATTATAAAAGTAAATTATGACAATTACATACATAAAAATAAAACTTATTTAAAAAAAAAAACAAAATTTATTAAAATACTGAAATATTTCAGACACTTGAAATATTTCATGAAATATTTCATTTTTTTAAATTTCATGAAATTTTCAAACACTAATTGCTATGGTACCTATATGTATCCATTGTTTATATAATTTTATTTTTATTAATTATAATTTAATTTATTTAGGTATATAAAAAAAGAAAATAATTTAATACAGTTATAGGATATTAGTTTTTTCTTTATCCTTTTAAAATAAGTTTAAAAGTTCTGTTTTTCAGTTTATATATTTACAAAATAGTTAGGATTTTAGAAATCATATCTTACTATTTTGAACAATAGTTGGCTATGTTGTAAATGTATAAGACACATGTTATATTTATACTTTACGTTGAGAATATTTATGAAATTATAAATAATGTTGTTAATTAAACGTGCAACAAGTCGTGATACAATTTCGAAATATAATAGGAGCCAATTATGTACCCAATGAACAAAAGATTGGTGATAACAATAAAAAACTCATAAGTTATGCAAACGTGTGCAAATCAATTAAATCGAAAGTTTATACAAGCAAAAATGAACCTACTTTAGAAGATAGAATCTGGTACCTATATATGATTATTAATGTTAATCACTTATTTATAGTTTTAGTAAAATAAAACAGCAATAACAGATTATATTTCAGACTAAGTACTATATTATAATTTAAGAAATATTTTTGATAATTGTAATTATCTGTACACTATTAGAAATATAATTCATTTAGTCTATAAAAGTTAAAGTGAATGTGCGTAATTTTATTCTTCAAAACGGTTTGCTCTCACCGCCTGGGTTCGTTGCTTCCCCGGAATTAGGTTAGTTAAATTTAAAACTAAACTTTGAATAAAATAAAATAAAACGAAAAACTATCATCGATATTGCAATTTACCTTGTTTGCGATAAAAGAACCGAAAAGAAAAAACACATTATTCTATCACAATCTTTTAGTAGACCTTCATTTATTTTTCAGATTATAGAAAATATCTTCGCATGGACCACATTACTTTAACAAAGTTATTAAAAATGATTACACCAAATATAAACAGGTATTTGGATAAGAGAATCAATTTCGCCGACCCAGTGCTTATCGTATACACTACGAAAGTTATTTTTCCAATATATTAACTAACATAGTGCCTATTTCTACGTTGGATAGTATTATCTGAACATATCTAACATATATTTATTTAAATAGTATTAAAAAAAAAAATAATAATAATATATTGTCTAAATCAATCAACTTCACATAAATTGTATTAAAAATTTAAAAACTATTTTAATACACATTTTTAACTTTCATCGAAATTAAAATGCCAAAGGTAAAAAAAATAAAATAATAAACTTAATTACATTTTAAATTATTTCATTACAACTAATTAATAACACTTAAATTATTTTAAACTAAACAGACCAAATGTAAAAATATTTGAATTTACACCATGTTATTATTATTCAACATATTCTATTAATCTAAATATTCTTCAACTAAATTGTGTTGTGTAGTATAGTAATAAAAAAATAAAAATAACACATCTTAATTTGTATACTTAGTGTCGGAAAAATGTTCAGCAAATTATTATAAAATGTTTGTTTATGAAACGTTCAGATACATGTATGTATTTCCCATATATGTTGTGAACGAAGGAATAGTAATGAATTTTAGTTTTCAGACATATGAACTGGCATAGCTTGAACAAATATTTATGGTTTTGAAGAACGTGGACACACACAAGAATGATTGATTCTTACAGAATTACGATGGAGAGTTTTTAAACGAGCTTCGAAAAGGATGTCGGATATTGCCTTTTGAGCAAACAGTTGTTGGTCTGGTTCTAGTTTTTGTAACTCTAATGCCCAAAACTTAGCTAAAATATCACTATCAGATGTAGATTGTTGTAGACGATTGCATGCTAATTCTAGCAAATCATTCATTTTTTGTTTTTCAGAATTTTTCCTTTTTTTTTTTTTTAATGGTTCGTGGGAAATTGAGACAGGAGTTACAGGAGTTTCAGCAGAGCTTGTTGCGAAAATATCTTTCTGTAAATAAAAATAAAACAAAACATTAAATAAATTAACTACAATTATTAGCTACTTGAACACAAAGGTAAAAATAGATCTGCTATTAATTAGTAATGATATTTTATTAGATGTCTGTTTCAGAAGAAAAATTATTACTGAAAACTTCGAGTCGAAATGGAATTTTAATTATTGTTTGAGGCAAATGATGGCAAAACTTAAGGCCGTAACGCGCTAGGCTGGTTAGTATAGCAGATATTTTGTAAGCAGCCGTTCAACGCGTTACCGTATAATATTATTACAATGGCTGTTATACGCTTTCCTTTTTTCCGTCCTAATGTACCCCGAGATGAAGTGATCGGCTTATGTCATATAAAAGTATACCAAAAATTATGAACGCGAATTTTTTTTTTTCGTACATATTAAAACTTTCCAAAATAGTAGCGCAATACTTTTTCGAGTTTTGAAACGTAAGTACGTAAGCAATTTACTCGTGAAAAGGTAACGCAATTGGACACGTGTTGTATCGCGCGGTACCATCAGTCGGTCGGCTCGTGGTCATCGACGGCATAGATCTGCGAACGAACCGATAATTCGGTTCCGATCGAAGCAATTGACGAATTCCAGACGGAATCCAGGATTTTCTTTGGGGGGGAGGTTTGAAAACTGTTTTCCCTAGGGATATTTTTTATAAAATTGCAGTCAGTGATTAATAATAAATTTAAGATAATAGTAAGTAATTTAATACATTAATTTAAATCTAAGACTACTAATTTCTTGTATGAATAAAAATACAAATTATATACTTTCCCTCATATTTTTTAAAAAAAAAAATTTTTTTCTTAGTTCATAAATTATTGATTTATAATATGTATTTTTCCTGATTTTTGGGAGGGGGTTTAAACCACCCCCATGGATCCGCTACTGTTGCCGACATTAGTTTCCTGACCTCAGATTCGATTAGTACATGGTCGTGCCCGGAACTCGATTAGTATATTATATTTTTTCCCGTTCAGGTATTCAAGGACTCGATACAACGAGGAAAGCCATGCAATCGATACCGTGTACGGCAGCGTTTCCCGAATAGTGAGTTCCCACAAACCCACTACCGGGCCATGAAAATATAATACCGGGTCGCAGAATTTAATAAAATTCTCATATCGAATTTGTTATTCATAATTTCATTTGATAATCTGAACCTTTTATTAAAAATAAATGCATTAATACGATTAACTATTGTTTACAACATAAATAATAATTATTGAGATTTTTAACTAGACTTTATAAAAAACCCCTTGAGTACGGCATTTGCCGTGTCTATAAATACAGTATAATAGTATCAAATTAACGCTTCAGTTCTATTATAAAATTCTACGTGGACATTCAAATGTGTTTTGCCTTTAGTAAAATATTTTGATGGGTCACGAAGGGGAAAAATATTAATTACCGGGCCAGCCTTAACAGGAGTTTGGGAAACGGTAACCGTGTTCAGTCCGACAAGCTCATGGTGCGGAACTCCAGCGCGATCGAATAACGGCGAAACGTTTTGCACGCGTCTGCCAGTAAATTAACGCTGAGACGGATAGAATTGCGCGAGGACGTCGACGTTGGCGACTTTGGTCTGCTTAACGACAATGAATTTGCTAAGCGAACACTGTGCGGATGCGTAGAACACGACACGGATATAATTTTTGTAGGATTTAAGCTAAAATGATTTTAACTACCATTTTTTATAGATCCCATCGCCACCGCCAAAATGGGTTTACCACGATCGTTTGATAGTGATAGATAACAAAGAGTGGCGATTAATCGAGTTTTTACTGTATAATTATATAACATTAAATTATTACGTACTGTATTTTCCGAAGTGATGTTTTGCGATTGCTGCATCGATGTATTTAAAAATGTTTCATCTTCATCCGTTGTCGATTTTCCGGTAATCTGAATCTCGTGGTCACGTAAAAATTTAAACTCATCAAAATACCAAACCGATGGCAAGTATATATCGTCGATATCTGCACCTGATTTTTCGCTAGCCAAGACTTTCTTTAACTCACGACGATAATTTGATCTCAATATGTTTATTTTTTTTTTAGTTGTATTAATGTCAGCAGTTGGATCAATTTCTTTTAATTTATTAGTTAATTTCACATAACAGTCATGTTTTAACATCTTATCTTTGTACATTTCACTTTTTATTTTCCACGTTGCAGGTAAACTACGATATAAATGTATAAACTCGCGCCAAAATTCTTCATTGTTTAACTTATTTGTCATTTTTTAACGAATATATAGATTTTACAAGACAAAAAGACACGGCACGTCTCCACGGTTCGACTAATGTATTATACATTCATAGACATATGCGGTCAGTTTCGAATGACAATCAATGTAATTGACAGCCAAAAAATAATACATTTGAATTTTATCAGTTACGAAAATGGACTGTCAGTCATTATCAATCATGCAAATACATGATTAGCCTTGACTGTCAATCACGTTCATTGTCATTTACGACTGACCGTGTACTGTAAAGATTATTGTAATTTTAAGATTTTTATCATATACGGCCGTCGATAACAGTTGTTTGATAAAAGGATTGATACCACTTTACCGACAACATGGTTGTGGTCGAAGCTCTTCATAAAACCACATGAATTATCATTATCACAACAATTCCTTTTTTATTTGTGTGTTCAATTTATTTTTTCATTAGTTTCTATAGCGGTATCCAGCACGTTTTTTTTTAAAAAGTTTTATTGCCCTGGCGTTAAGCACTCAATTCCCAAGCATACAAAAGCGAACTGGTTTTCGACACGTTGTTGTCATAGGCGCACATAGGGGGTGCTTAGCACCCCCAGTTTCCTAGAATATTTATTTCAGTATTTCATCAATAAATTGTAAATTATTATGGTTTATTAGGTTGGACATTTTTTTTTTCCACTATAGACAATAATATATAATATAGTTAACGAATATACGATTAAAACGGTATAATTGTATAATTGCACGTTTTACAGTTTCAGTTTTTGTTTATTAAACTATAAACAGCAATCAAAATATTATAGAAAATCATATTATCTTACTTTATATTCTTATATTATCTATGGTTTACGGTTGGCTACGAAGATATGTTCCATTTATAACTTTGATTATTACTTGTTTTTTAGTAATATTTAACCAGTGGGCTACGCAGAGTTGTGTGCGGAATGACAAATATTATTACCAATCATATAAACGATATGATTCATTACTATTTACATTTTATATACTAGTTCATATTTTTGATATATCAACAGTTAATTTATCTGCAGAAATGCTGATCATAAAGAATAGTCTACTAGCCAAATTTTAATTTGAAGACTTAAAAAATCAATGTAATAAAAGTTCGTTTCCAAATGTTTATAAGCTAGTTCAAGTGGTAATGACAATTCCAATTTCTTCTTCAACGTGTGAACGTTCCTTTTCAGCTATGTAGAGATTTAAAAATTGGTTACGCACTAGTATAGGCCAAGAAAGATTTATTAAGCTATCTACGCTTAGCATTGAGAGAGATATTATTATTATTATTATTATTATTATTATATTACCAATAAAATAGATGGGGAAATTATATTGGAAAAATTTGCATCATCAAACAAGAAATTAATTCTTGTTTAATATATTATTATAACTTATAATTTAATTACTTTTTAATATTCATTAATAAAAATTAAAAATTATGACAACGAAGTTGATTATAGTATTAGGGGGTGGGGGGATAAAGCCCCCCACGGACCTGTGTATTTTAAATTATTCCAGCACCCCTTGAATTCACACACAATGTGCGCCTATGGTTGTTGTGCAAGACTAAGGCCATCAACCAGCAGCCGGTAAAATACACCAGGAAGCCCAGATAGTCGCCGAAAGCACCGACGAAAATGTTTCGCGTACCCGTCCGGCCGCGGATCACCATTGAAGAGAGGAACGAATTGTTCTAGCTGTTCATCAACTACCGGACCACCATGAAGTCTGGCTGTTAAGCGAAAAGCTTACAAATTATAGCCGGATATAAATACGCAACGAAACGTTCGATATCACACTATTCATGGAATAATAATGTGCCTCTCCCGAAACTACATGCTGTTTTACACGTTACCAGTCGGCGTACCAGTCAAAATCGCCAGTAATTGAATGCCAGCGACTGGCAACGTTTAAACATTATCTGCCAACAACTGGAGAAAACCAGCGGGCACTAGTGTGCCAACAGATGGCATGCAGCAGATTGCCAGCAAAACAAATATTTTTGTTTTACTAGCGCGAAAGCTTCCCCCTCCACTATATCGCCACAACGAAAGCAGTTAACTGGCATCGTGTAAACAACAATAGTCACGTGCCGACTACTGGATTATAACAGTGATATAATATTTTATTTATCAATAATAATAGTACACCGTACGTGTGCGTGAAACTACTGAAACTGTGAAAAGTGAACTTCATAACTATATTAAAATATTTTATGACAATGTTTATAATTTATACAAGACGTGATAACGTGTATACTACAACTCGGTACTCGAATTGATAAAATACTACAACCACTGGTAAGCACCTATACTAGTAGCAAGTGGCGTAATTATAGGAGGGGTCTGGGGTTCCTCCCCCAAAAAAATATTTGAAAACGTTAAAAAATAATAATAATTAATAATAATTTATTACGGAAATAAAAATTCCAATTTACATAATATTTGACAAAAAATAAAAGTCATATAATTATAAGTATAAATATGATATTACATAGTACAATAAACTGTAATAGTATAATAATATAATTAAAAGGAAAATCAATAATTAATATAATACAGAAATTATTAGAAGTACATTAAAATAATTTATTTAGATCTAAGAGTGTTGCATGAAAAAAATCTATATTATTATTGCTATTTGCGGCTGACATCAACATATAAGAAGGTGATAAAGATAGGTAGTTTTTTGAGATACTAGGTAATGTTATAATATTGTAAAACATAACATTAGTGATATTACTCATATGTATAATAGCATTAATAATTAGTAAATTAAATTAATTTTAACTATATAATAATATCTTTTGACATTTAATATAATAACAACTCTATCAAAAATAAATAATTGTCTAAAGCGGCAACAATAAACCATAGGATAGTTACATTATAATTATTTAATGAACACATTTCATTTATATCAAAATCACCTCCATATTCCCAATTGATGTCGGCTAGCATCACACAATATAATCAAATAAATGTCAAAAGATAACAACATAAATATTACACTATTAATATTAAGACATTTTCTAAAATTGTAAAAACAATTATAATAATTATCAATAAATGACGGTATGAAGGGCAATCTTGTTAATACTCCAAAGGGCATAAATAGGCCTGTCTCGCCAGCAAGAGGGTCGATCGGTTACTGGTCACCATACAAAGAAGATAAACACGTTTTTTATTGTACGCCTGCGGAGTATTGACGAGACTTGTCAATCATATCTGAGTTTTAAATATTCATAAGTGTGTTCAATTATTTTAAAATATTTTTCAATTCAAGATTTGTATGTTATACGAGAAGTGAAATAAAGGTAAGAATTAAAGAAATTCACTTTTAGGACTATTAAAGTTCATCCAATATTTTATCCTTTTCTGTATTACTACAGTAAGTAAAATGTGGGTTTATTTCTTGAATTAGGAAAATTAATTTTAAAATTTAAACGCTCTATTAATTCAGGACAATCAATAATATTATTTAATAATTTAAGTAAAAACTTGAGTGTAAGTAATTTAAATCTTTTATCCAAAGGCAATATTGTGAAAATATATATTAATAAATATTATTTATTTTTAAAAGACATCATTTTTGATATTTAATCAATATTTCAAATATCAATACATTATTATATTTGTACATGGTTATATTCTAACATGTTCTATAGCCTAATCGTTTTGAAATTTAAATGAGAGTGTATAAAAACTATTACAACATTAACAGACCTCAATATTCCATGGGTTAGTTTTAAAATAAATTGTTGTAAATAAAAAAACATTTAAATTTAAATAATATTTTTGGCGGCATACCGCAACGGGAGCAACGATGAGACAGATATTTTATGTCTAATATTACTTGTCTTATTCTATTTACGTTTGTTAAATATTGTCACTCTTACAAATTATATTTTTTATAATTCCTGATCATTGTATATATTAATACTAATAAAATAAAAAAAATTAATTATTATTTATTTTTCTTTAAATAATAAAGTGTAATTAATTATTTAAATATAATATTTGTTCTTTTTATTAGAGTTAACAGCCGAAATATAGGAATGAAACAAACTTATGAGCAACAATTACTTATCTACTTACTCCCAGGAATAAAACGGTACGTCGTTTTTATTTTGAATAACAACTGTAATTGCAGCAAAATCAATTAAATTTATGTTTTAAGCTTCGAACTATTTTTTTTATATTTAATCCATTAACTTTTTAAACTTAATATAATTAAGTATTCTCTGTTATGTAAATAAGATTTTTCCATTACTAAAGTCAATTTTTATCTTTTCTATATTTATTTAAATTATTATTACTTTAAATTTATAAATTAAATTTCAATTTATTTGGATTGATATTTATTTTTTTTTTTATTTTTAAATATATTTTTGTGTTTCGCCTGCATAAGTAATTTCTAGACCTACTTTCATTGTTTCTTTTGTTTTTAAAGTATTCATTTTTATTAACAATTTAAAGTATAATGTTTTTAATAATATTTATTTATGTGTTTTTAGTATATAAATAATGTTAAAAATTATGACACAATTTATATATTCCCCGGCCTCTAGACACATGAAAACTTTTTTTGGCATACTTCTTTTATTGCGACTGAAAAATATTTAAAAATATGATTTTGCTTTATAAAATATAGAATATTTTCAATATTAAATTCATATTTCAAATAAAAATACATTGTTGTATTCAAGCCAGGATTAATGGAGGGGGGACATGTCTCTGAGCTCACAACGGATATCAAACAATAGTAGGCCCCTAGCGGATAGTAGTTTTTTTTTGTTTTTTTAACTATTTTTTTAGCTCGTATAAAAAACAAGTATACAGCGAGCAGTTCTCAAGCAAATTTAAATAGTTTAATTGTTTTGTGTTCAGAGAGTATTGTATTGGAGGTAATTAATACCGATTATATAATTAAAGGGTTTGCCTTCCAAAAAGAAAGAAAAAATTATTCATACAGATAACATTTTTATTTTTGTATTGAAAAAAACAAGTAATAAATTTATAAATTAGAAAAAAAAATTTTTTTTTGTCTCTGAAATATATTTATGTGTGGGTCATCAATATTTTGATTATGGTTGTGGGCCCCTAAAATTGTTTGGTCCCGGGACCCAAATTATCATAATCCGGGTTTTGTTGTATTTGTAGATAGTTATATTCTAACATACGCTATAGAATAATAATTTTAGTGAAAATCGTTTTGAAACTTAAATGAGGGTGTATAAAAACTTTTTCAACTTTAACAGATCTTAGTATTTCATCGGTTAATGTTATTCATAACTAAAATTAATAATTTTAAATAAAAAACATTCACATTTAAATAATATTTTTTAGCGGCATATTGCGACAGGAGCAACGATGAGACATTCCATGTCCAATATTACCTAATATTATACATAATCTATGTCCAATATTACTTGTCTAATTCTATTTATGTTTGTTAAATATTGTCATCCTTACAAATTATATTTTTTATAATTCCTGTCCATTGTACATATTAATACTAATAAAGTAAAAAAATAAATTATAATTTATTTTTCTTTATTTCTCAAAATGTTATTGAATATTAAAACATTGTATTTATTTTACATATCATTATAGTAAACAGCCGAAATCTAAAAGCTGATCCAGAGTGAAACGAACTTACGATAGACAAACACATACCTACATACTCCCACGAATTCTGGTAAGTCTTTTTCTTTTGAATAACAACTGTAATTATAATTAAATCAATTAATTTTATATTTTTTAGTTACTATTTTATTTTTTTATATTTAATTCATTACCTTTTTAAACTTACAATAATTAAGTATTCTAAGTTATGTAAATAATATTTTTCCATTATTTAAATCAATTTTTTGCATTCAACATTAAATTAAATTATTAACACTCTAAATTTATAAATTTAATAGTATTAGTTATTTTTTTTTATTATTATTAAATACATTTTTTAAATTTCGTCTGCATAAGTAGTCTCTAGACTTTTGGATAGCTCTTTTCATTTTTTTCTTTTGTCATTAAAGCTTTCATTTTTGTCATAATTTAAAGTATAATGTTTTTAATAATATTTACTTATGTTTTCTTAGTACATTAATAATGTTTAAAATTACATTATAAATTATATTTTCCTCGGCCTCCAGGCACCAGGAAAATAAGTCTTTTTTAACGTACTTCTTTTATTGCGATTGAGATGTACCTATTTATAAATATTATTTATTGTTATAAGACATAATTTTAGGTCGTTACCCCAGCACCCGCACTTTCGAAATCATGAATTGTAATAAGCAGTATTATGTACTTATTTTGTACAATTTTGTACAACCAAAATTAAATTTTGTACAACCCCCGAACCTCCCCGAAATACAATTTCATTTTATGGGTGCTGCGGTAACGTTACATCAGCACCCGGATCAACTATTTTTCACAAATTTCAACTTTAAATCGTACAGTATTATGTACTTTATTTTGTACAATTTTGTACAATCCCCAAACCTCCCTGAAATTCAATTTCATTTTATGGGTGCTGCGGTAACGTTACACTAGGACCCGGATCAACTATTTTTCACAAATTTCAACTTTGAACCGTACAGTATTATGTACTTTATTTTGTACAATTTTCAAATCAGAGGCGGCTCGTGGGGTTCATAGAAGTTCGAGTACAAAATTCAAATATTTCCCCTTTATCTATTATCATAGTTTAGTTTTAGTTAGGGGGCAGGGCAAGTTATAATTTTACAAAATTTATTTTGTATATTTTTAAAATTGTTAAAAATATCAATAATATCATCTATTTAATCTAGAATATTTACTTTATGATATACATTAATTAGGCATAATGCTGATAATATATCTTCAGTCATCCTTGAACGAAGCCAGATTTTTAGTCTCCGAAGTGTGGAGAAACTCCTTTCAACCGTCATAACTCTATGGCTCTATCTACATACTTGTGCGTGTCATATAATAGTCATTATAATATGCATTTTTTGTTAACAATATAAATTGTATTTTTATAAATACGGTACAGCCTATAGGCCCCCACCCCGGTTCTAACGCTGTGGTCGGTGGGTTTATATAGACCATCATGGTATGCCGACTATTGTAATCGATATGTTTTCATCATATATTTTAGTATTATTGTTGTGGACTCGGTGTTCTTGGGTAGTCCTACAGTTTGCTACTGGTCCAATAAGGCACTTTACAATAGTTGATTATCATCTTCAATGTGTTAATTAACTATTAAGTGGATAAACAATAAGCTTTACTGACACGGGAATAGTAGTGGTGCGCCATAGGCAATATAGTCGGGCTATATGTTGGTTTTGCTTCGTGTTAGGCCGTCACGCGGCACGGTGTAAGTACAGTAACGAATGCCAACTATGGGTCAATAAATTGTGTTCGTTACAATTTTTATTAAATAAATTCATTTTTACAAATTTCACATTTGTTCTAATTTATGTTCAAAATATATTTAATAATATACAGTCTTAACTTTCTTACGATACATGAATAATGTAACCGGGAATTGATTTTCTTTATTTCTTTTAGCATAGGAACCTCTTTAGCAGTGAAATGTGTAATTGAGAAAACGATTTAAATTAAAGTGGACAACCAATGTCAACTACTTTCCCTCTTCATGTGTGGGTCACAATCAACAGGATCAACTAGATCCTGGATCTAGGATCAAATAAGTGGCTAATCGGGTTCCCAGAATACAATGGGGAATAAAATAATCACATGAATACTAAATATTTAATATGAATAGTTTTAGATCATTATATTTACAATTATGCAAGAGGTCGTTGGCAATAATCGGAATAATTCAAATAAGTTTTTTCAATAAGCCAACGCGGACCCGAAACCTCGTCGATCAAATAATTAGAGTTGGATGGGAATTTGTTGGCAATAATAAGGGCCGTTTTAATTTATATATCCATTGGATATCTAACCGTGACAGATATTCAACGTCGTTGTCATCGTCGCCGTAGCAAAGATCGTTGACCGTGATCGTTTTCGCCGCATTACGGTGGTCGCAGCAATCGTCGCTGTCGTCGTCGATGTCGCCAATATTGGTCACCGTAATCTCGTCCGCTTTTGCCGCCGCCGTCGTCGCCGGAAAGTTAGAACTATCCTTCTCTTTTCAATACTTCTAACTGGATTGATGATATCGATTCGTTGAAAAATGTTTATTGAATGTGTTTGGGGCCTCTTAATTGTGCACGTTGATCTCCGGTGGGTTCGTTTGGATTTGTGCACTTGTTTGTTTTGGCAATGTAAAAGAGCATCTTCGGACCATGTTTTGTTATTATATATATATATATATATATATATATATATATATATATTATTGAGTATTTTAAAAAGTGATATTTCTTCTTCTTTGTTAATTAACTAATTTTTTCTTATCCAAGTACCGAACTATTCTTGTGTTAATAATTTTTTTAATAATTTTTGTTAATAAGGTATTCCGTCGAGACCGAAGATTTTATGTTTACATTAACTAAAAGCTGTTTCGTGGCGTTGGGAAAATGGCATCCACATCGCCCAATTCATACCTATGCATTGCAATAGCCCCAGAAGGGTATTTACGAACCCTTGTGGCTAGTCCTCCAGATTGAAGGTTGATCGATGGGAGAACACCTCATCATCGTAGAAAATTATTTATCAGGAATTTTTCAATCACCTCGAGCAAAGTATGGAATCAAGACAGGAGTTATCAATATTTAAGTATGGTATATCATTTTTATTCACTATGGATTTTCTAGGTAGAGCGGAATAGAACTTGTGTTTTGGCTTTCAATAATAATAAGAATTATAATAAGAATTTAATAATTTAAAATTTGTATAGTGTTGGATATTTTTGTTTTTTTATTAAAAACAGTGTTTTTTCTATGTTAATTTTTTTTGATTTTTTAATTATGTAGTGTTGAATAATAATAATATGTTGACTTTTAATGAGAGACTTTCTTCTTACTATTTGATATAGGAATATTTATTAATCTTTGGCTGTTTTTTTTTTATTATTTTTGCTAAGTATAAGTTTGATGAATTGGCGGCGTTTGATGTTGGATACTTTTTGCCTCTGCTTATGAGTAGTAAATCTTGAATTCTTTTTTTTTTTTTTGTTTGTAGATAGGGTTGACAGCTGTTCATTTGTTTTGGCTTCTAATTGGGAATCTTCTTTTTACGGTTTGGTGTCTTGTTGATTTGTTGTGTTTTTGGATTTTGTTTTAAGATGTTTGATAGGTATTTGTTTGTTGTACTGTTGATGTTTTGGAGTTGTGTATATTTTATGTGTATTTTTATGTTTGGTGTTTCTTAGGTAGTTTTTCTAGGCTTTTTTGTAGGTCGTGTCGAATAGTATCTAAGTCATGGTCTATATTTAGGTATTATCTTTTTACTATTTAATGTCTTGTTGATTTATTGTTCATTTGGTATTTGTTTTAAGACTTTTGATATGTATTTGTTTGTTGTACTGTTGGCGTTTTGGACTTGTATATATTTTATGTGTAATTTTATGTTTGCTGATTCTTACTTCTTTTTGTCTGCTTTTTTTTTTTTGTTCTGATTTGTGTTAGGTATTTGTTTGGTGTTTTGTCTTTTTTTTTGGTGTTTGATATATTTTTTGTCTATTTTGATTTAGGCATTCTAGAATATATTTTGTTTGGTTGTTTTAATTAGGGATGATCAGTTGTTTAACTGTTTTTGGTTCGAGTTAGGGAAGAGTTTTTACTATTATGTTGGTCTGTGTTGTTCTTCTGCCTCTTTTTGTGAATTTTATAGGTATTTGTAATCCCCCAGGGGAACACGTT